GTCGAAGGGTCCCGGGTTCGAACCCCGGTCTGGACGTTGCATTTCTCTTTCTCCTGTTACAGTAGTACGTATACTTGGAAGTTTGTTCATCTCTTCTAAGTTTAGTTGCTAACTCAAATAATATCATCAACGATGATTTGAACGCGTTATTTTTTTTATATAAATAATAAGGAAATTCGTAAATAACTAGGAAGAATTCGTCATCCTTACAATAAGCTCAAGCTGTACGTAAATTTGATCAATGCATTCAACATACCGGCAGCCCTGCAATATTGCAATCCAGATACCTGAAAAGATTTGTACTACAGACCCATACATTATAAAATATATACATATAAATGTCAGTCTTTGGCGGTAAATAAACTTTCCCGAGTACCTGAAAAAGGGGGCGGATGATTTGTTAGCTTAAATGTAACTTTTCAAACCCATTGATTTGTTGTTTTTGTGATCTAAAATTAACATCTATGAGGTGCAAAATTTTCTTTGATAAACAATCTTTTGTGTCATTTCCGTTGTATAGTTTTAGTAGCTGACTGGAATACTTGTTAGTGTTTCACATATAATTTGACTACTTAACGGGACTTTTCAACTATCTTGGGGGATAGGGGGTGGGGGATTGGGTAAGCGTCTCTGTGACGCAGATATATCATATAAGCGTCCATGTGACGCTATTTCCAAACACATTGCGGGAAGGCTGCAGCAGTGGTAAGGCTGTAAGGTGCGATATAAAAACAGAAAAGATGGTGATTTAGTCCCGATAACACAAACTAAACCTACTGTTGATGTGTTGTTATTCAATGTGATTACCGATATGTAAGATATTCAGACATCTTTTTCTCGGCCTCTAGCAGGAAGCTGAGAAGCCAAAACTTGTTTCGCGTTCTCGATTTTTTATTAATTAATAGCTGGATAATCTTGGTATAACATTATATTCGGGGTTGGTTATTAATAACATTTTTATCGACGTATTTCGGTACTTTGCACTGTTACGATCGAGCTGAAACTTTGCACATTACGTGACATAGCTAGGTGTGTGAATATAATTTATATAGAATACAACATTTTCAAAAACCTATTGACGAATTGCTGAGCGCGAGAAAACCGGTCCTCTTTAAAAGCGTCTTCAACCGACAACAAGCGTCTTCAAGTAACAACAAGCGTCGCCAGACAAAATCTTTTAAAATGCCGAATAAAGTAAGCGACATCAGAAGATATGTTGTTAATATGACTATAATACACCTCTGTACCAAATTTCAATTTGATATTTGATAAAATGACCGAGTTATGATGAACTGAATTTTACGATCGCGGCGTGGCACATGTGTGTATTCACATGTAAAGTGAAGAAAGCGTCGCCAGATAATATCGTTACAATTACTCGCTAAAGTAAGCACCATCAGAGGCTATGTTATTAGTTAGACTTTTATTGATATATATTCCAAATTTCAGCTCGATATTTGAAAAAATGATCGAGTTATGATTAATTTATTATTACGATCAGCGGTGTGGCACACGTGTGTGAATAGAACTCAACACATGAAAAAGCGTCTTCAGAACATATCTCTAAAATTAATCGATTAAGTAAGCGACATCAGAAGATATGTTATTCATATAACTATGATACACCTTTGTACCAAACTGCAGGTAGATATTTGAATAAATTACCAAGTTATCGTGAATTTATTATTTTACTATCGTCGGCTTGGCACACGTGTGTTAATAAAACTGTACAGATCAAGAAGCGTCTTCAGACTTTACCTCTTAAAATAATTGATAAAGTAAGCGACATCATGAGATATGTTATTCTTATGACTATGATACAACTATATACCAAATTTTAATTTGATTTGTTGAAAATGACTGAGTTATCCTGAATTTAATTCATACGATGTACAGATATTAAGCTATACGTAATCGATCGTAATAATCAAACTTATCATTACTCAGTCATTTATTCAAATATCTACCTGCAGTTCGGTATAAAGGTGTATCATAGTTATATGAATAATATATCTTCTGATGTCGCTTACTTTATCGATTAATTTTAGAGATATAGTCTGAAGACGCTTTACGATCTGTAGAGTTCTCATCACACACGTATGCCACGCCGCCGATCGTAATAATAAATTAATCATAACTCGGTCATTTTTTCAAATATCGAGCTGCAAATTTGGAATGTATATCAATAAAAGTCTAACTAATAACATATCTTCTGATGTCGCTTACTTTAGCGAGCGAAAATATCTGGCGACGCTTTCTTCACTTTACATGCGAATACACACATGTGTCACGCCGTGATCGTAAAAATTCAATTCATCATAACTCGGTCATTTTATCGAATATCGAGCTGAAATTTGGTACAGAGGTGTATTATAGTCATATTAACAACATATCTTCTGATGTCACTTACTTTATTCGGTATTTTAAAAGATTTTGTCTGGCGACGCTTGTTGTCACTTGAAGACGCTTGTTGTCAATTGAAGACGCTTTTAAGGAGGACCCCAGGTAGTAGATAATCTTGGTATAACATTATATTCGGGGTTGGTTATTAATAACATTTTTATCGACGTATTTTGGTACTTTGCACTGTTACGATCGAGCTGAAACTTTGCACAATACGTGACATAGCTAGGTGTGTGAATATAATTTATATAGAATACAACATTTTCAAAAACCTATTGACGAATTTCTGAGCGCGAGAAAACCTACCTGGAATCAGCCTGGATACTCATCCCTCCCTCACAAGCAAAATAAATAAATATCATTTATTTATCGGCGTATTTCGACACAGCCTTGTTATGATCAAACTGAAATTTTGCACACAGCTAGATACGTGAATATAAGCACAGGAGCCTGAAGTTCTGTCAATAATGAATTATAACAGTAAAACAAAAAAAATCTATTTTTTAAGCATATTATAGGTATTTTTTTGTACTACTGTTTTATTCATTAATGACAGAACTGTGGGGAAAAAACAAATGAGGAATATTAATTCCTGGGCGCGTGAAAAAAAACCTGGTCACCCATTCCTCCCTCGTAAACATAATATTTATCAACATATTTTGGTACTTTCTACTGTAAAGATCGACATGAAATTTTCTGTTGTTCAATAATGTCACGCATTCAAGGACTATGCATTCTATTGTGGACTGTAGGATTAAATATAGGCTATAGAAATACTTGTATTCTTCAGGTAAACATAAAATTTTAAATTGCAAAACAGGAAATGCTGATTAGTGACATCAGAATTTTTATTAGAAAATGTAGCTAACCATATGAAATTGAATTGATAAGCATTTTAATGAATCTGATGTCAGCTGATGATATCAGATCATCAGTTACAATACTCCAGTCGATTCCCATAACTACCTTGTTTACACATCAATATCTGTGTTCATTGCAATGCAGGTAAAGATGGCAAAGGATGAGGATGATTTAAAGGTGACATGTCAGATGAACTGGGACCTGCCCGGGGTGATCTCTGAACGGGTCGGAGTAAAGGTTTGGGCAGCCAACAATGTGGTGGAGATGTTGTCTGCCGGCGACACCATCCCCTTCATCGCCAGGTATAGGAAGGAACGCACAGGGGACATGGAGGTGGACAAGATACGCGAGGTGGAGAGAAACATGGAGGAGCTGAGGTGATTAAATGCGTAAAACTTGTACAAGTTGTTAAATACCCTTCAATGTAGTCGGGACATCTATTAAAACAAAATTATCAATTTCAATGAAAATCGATAGCATTACCCATATATCTTACTTTTGCACCTGCTTTCCAATTTAAGTTTCCTTCCCTTTTAAAAGAGTTATTCCCCTTTATAAAGGAGAACTAAAGACATTTAACCAAAAGTACCACACTGATTTCGGTAAAGCTTTGTCCACATGGTCAGTATCTCATGTATCAATAGTTAATGCATGTGTGTTTAACATTTGGTTATTCCATATTGATCAATGTTTTTTTTATATGTTTAATGTATGAATAGATAAATTAAATGTACAGCATTTATAGTGCCCTTCCTACCTAGCTAGAATAAGCTACTCTAAAGGCCTTTGCAGTATAGATTGTACAACCAATACAATTTTGGGGATGTCGCAGGAACTGCCATATTGGTAGATGCAGACAAATAGCTCTATGCCACCTGGCATGTGTGTTGGAGATTATTTTGTAGTGGCACTTCAATTGAATGCTACAGCACAGAAACTGCAACACCCACTCAAGGCAATTTTATATTCCACCAGGTTTGGAATTGTGTACATGTAGTAGAAAAACACTTCATATTAAATGCTATGACAATTTTGGAAATCAAACCCCGACCAATAAGCGAAGTATTATCCACTCAGCCAAATTTTCCTATGTATGTATCCAGAAAGCTCACCTTGTGCATCAGCATACATTTGAGAAGAATGTCTTCTGATAATGACATTAAGGAAATCTTCATGTCTTATGTATCAGCTTCCACAACTGTTTTACACAGCATCTAATGATTGGTAGTAATTCAGTTAGTAGCCCTGGGCTAATCCCTTGTCTGTCAAATTCATCTGTGTTCTTATAGATTTACTGCTACCAGGTGTTTACCTGGCCATCATGATCACTAAACAATTACTGTACATGCCAGTGGCAAATACTCAACAATATGAATTTAATTCTTAGCAAAGTCTTGAAGTTTAAATCAAGTCAAATACATCTGTTGATCCCTATATCATATTATTCTATACAGCCTCTAGCCTATGTTTGTAAGACATATCTTATCCATGTAAGACAGCTGTCAGGTTGGACGGGGAGGGGGTAGGAATAATAGAATCTTCCCCTACCTTGAGGGTGTGACAGAGAAATCTCCAACCCGAGGGGTAATGTTTTACCATGAGGGTTGGAGATTTCTCTGTTACACCCTCAAGATAGGGGATGATTATTTTTCTCCCATCCTGTTATTTAAGTCACAAATTGACCGACAGTTGTCTGTTTGTAAACATTAACACATGTGGGGTATGCATATCATCATTCACTTTTGATGACGTCACAATTTCCAATGAGGCATTTTAATGACGTCACAATTGAACACATGCTAATCGGCACAAGGCTATCTCCCCCTAGGGGCTGACAAGTTGATCTTTCCCAGTTAAAATGGGAGACACCTGTGAAGGGTGGGAGAATTCTCTATCTTCAATATCATTTAGGGATGGAGCAGTAAACAAGATATAATGAATATAATATCTTCGGTTGACTATAAGTCATGCCCCTCAATGAAATGACATCAAGTTATGAATCAAGAGTAAAACCTTCAGGAAAGCCTAGTGTCAATTAAAATTCAATTCAAAGTCCTTTGGGTTAAAGTTCCCATTTCCCCGTCTTTCACTCATATTATAAAGTGTTGCTTGTAAGGTCAAAACCCAGTTATACCCTGATGCAGTGAGCTCATGAATATGTATATATAAAGAGGATCTGTCGTAAGTTTCCCTTCATATTAGATTTATGATACAAGTTTTGGATTTTTCGTGATATGAAATATGAAAAATCCAAAATGAGTATCATAAATCTTGTATGAAGGGAAATGAATGACAGATTCTTTTTATCATGTTATACAAAGTAAATTGTATAATTGTGATCTGAAACGAATATTTTGCACTTGGCCGACTCTGAAACGATGAAAATTGCGTCCACTTCACAATGACGTGATGTCACATTCATTGTTCTTATTTGATTGTGACGTCATATCTGGAGTGAAATTACACCCGTTATATAAACATAATTTATGTGATGGTTTTATGACACTGCATAACAGGGTATTCATTTGATATATATATTATGATTTAAAATTGACTCACCTGCTCTTCATGGGACTTTGATTAGGTTATAATTACTAAGCATTCAAAGAGAGCACTTTATAAAAGATAGAATTCTGACATATTGTTTAATAATTAGAGAACATCATAGCAAGCTAAGCTTACCATGATAAACAAGTCAATGGCTGCTTGGTTTGTGTATTTCTAGATGAAGTGTAGTGGACATATATACATGTAAGTGTTTATCAAATGTATTCATCAGAATGAATACTGATATGATTGCTTTAAAATGTATGACAATTGCAATCATTCTATCACAAGGTGTATTTTTCAGAGATTTTTGTTGGATTGTTTTTGGATTAGTCCAAATTAAATCCATGTTTTTTGGAAATTACCAAGAGTTCCAAATAATATTAACCCTTTCACCCCTAGATAGCTATAGTAGACTTTACCACAGATTTATCTGGATGAGTCCATTATTGTCTAAAGTGGTGAAAGGGTTAAGAGGAGTCACAATCATAAAAGATGAGTGCAAAATGATTATTTTTTTCATATTGATTCAAAATAAATCTGTTTACTATGGAATAGTAATACATATTGAGTTCTGCTAAAGCAAACACACAATCAATTATCTACAACAAACTGTGTGTTGCAGTAGAGAATACACAAAATCAGTCCTCTGTAGATTATAGATCTGATTATTATAGCAAACATTAATGAGAAATAATTAGCCACCATGAAAGTGAAACTTGACAGAGATGAATGTGTTTTATTAAGATTAGTAATCTACAAGCAAGGTTTGAGTGTAAGCCTCGAGGTGAATGATGATTGGATGACAGACTGTGTATTATTGTACAGGTACTTGACCTGTAGGTTATTGATGATGAGGATACAACAGGTGGGCTGAGGATAATTAAAATATGTGTAGGACAATAGATCACTGATTGTACAAACCAACTGACCAGGTGGTTGATGGGTAATGTGTCTGTCAACAGATCTCTGTCTGTCCACATCAACTGACCAGGTGGGTGTTGGGTAATGTGTTGGTCAACAGATCGCTGTCTGTCAATACCAACTGACCAGTAGGGCATTGGGTAATGTGTTGGTCATACAGATCTCTGTCTGTCCACACCAACTGACCCTTCCAGTTGATCATATGTCTGACCACATTCTGGAGTAATGTCAAAATGCAATAAAATCAAATGAAGCAGCAAAGGCTTTGCTGAGTTTTCTTGTGTTGTTGACGATATATTTTGATATTTACATTTGGTGGGTATTAAATTTAAAAATTTAAGAAAATGTTCTACAAAGTTAAAGATTTTTTGTCTCTAACACAAGGTCATTTCTTTCGAATAAATATCTTTATGTACACAAATACAATAAGTACACATCCACACTTTGATATATATGTTACACAACACCAATTTGTGATGCATTTTTCCAGAGCTGTTGAAACCAAAGCTACCATGGTTTTGAAAGCTGTGAAAAAATTAGGAAAGCTGTCCGGAGAATTGAAATGTGCCCTGGAGAATTCCATCCTTTTGTCTGAAGTGGAAGCTTTGGTATGTGATAAAAAATGCAATATTGAGTTAAAAACATTTGGAAGCACACGTACAATGTATTGAGTCAATATTCTGATAAGCATTGTATTAAGTCGTTGACATGTAAAGAAATGTAAAATGGGTAAAGACTTTTGTAACTGAGTAATGTAATGCTGAGTTAAAACATTTGCAACTGAGTAATGTAATGCTGAGTTAAACATTTATAACTTAGTAATGTAATGCTGAGTTAAAACATTCATAACTGAGTAATGTAATGCTGAGTTAACCATTTATAACTGAGTAATGTAATGCTGATTTAAACATTTGTAACTGAGTTATGTAATGCTGAGTTAAAACATTTATAACTTAGTAATGTAATGCTGAGTTAAAACATTTATAACTGAGTATTGTAATGCTGTGTTAAACATTTATAACTGAGTAATGTAATGCTGATTTAAACATTTGTAACTGAGTTATGTAATGCTGAGTTAAAACTTTTATAACTGAGTAATGTAATGCTGAGTTAAAATAATTGTAACTGAGTAATGTAATGCTGATTTAAACATTTATAACTGAGTAATGTAATGCTGAGTTAAACATTTGTAACTGAATAATGTAATGCTGAGTTAAAACATTTATAACTGAGCAATGTAATGCTGAGTTAAAACATTTATAACTGAGCAATGTAATGCTGAGTTAAAACATTTATAACTGAGCAATGTAATGCTGAGTTAAAACATTTATAACTGAGCAATGTAATGCTGAGTTAAAACATTTATAACTGAGTAATGTAATGCTGAGTGTAACATTTATAACTGAGTAATGTAATGCTGAGTTAAACATTTATAACTGAGCAATGTAATGCTGAGTTAAAACATTTATAACTGAGCAATGTAATGCTGAGTTAAAACATTTATAACTGAGTAATGTAATGCTGAATTAAACATTTATAACTGAGTAATGTAATGCTGAGTTAAACATTTATAACTGAGTAATGTAATGCTGAGTTAAAACATTTGTAACTGAGTAATGTAATGCTGAGTTAAACATCTGTAATTGAGTAATGTAATGCTGAGTTAAAACATTTATAACTGAGTAATGTAATGCTGAGTTAAACATTTATAACTGAGTAATGTAATGCTGAGTTAAAACATTTATAACTGAGCAATGTAATGCTGAGTTAAAACATTTATAACTGAGTAATGTAATGCTGAGTTAAACATTTATAACTGAGTAATGTAATGCTGAGTTAAAACATTTGTAACTGAGTAATGTAATGCTGATAAAAAAATATATTGTACATAATATAATTGGGTAAATTCTGAATGAAGTGCACTTCTGCTGTGACAAAGGTTAATTTTCCTCCCAGTGAAGTGAAGAGGCTGAGGTGTATACTGGAATCAGGTTGTTTATGTGTCCATCTGTATGTCTGTTCATACAGAATCTTTTCCAGACGACTCGTGAAGTTTTCATCTAAATTTTGTTAAACTCCACCTATGTTGTCACTACATCCTGAAGATGTACACTTACTCTTGCTTTGTAGAACCCTTCCTATCAACATTATGTATTTTATGTTTCAGTATGCTCCATACAAACCTGGCCACAAGGGGACGCTTGCCGAAAGAGCCCGAGCTCTAGGACTGGAGCCACTGGCACTTCAGTACATCAACCATCCTTGGCGGGTTAATGTGGACACCTACGTCAGGCTCGGCACTAAGGGCCTGTCCAGTCACGCTGAAGTGGAGGCAGGGGTGCAGCACATTCTGGCTGACATGATGACCAAGGACAAGGATGTGATTGACCTTGTCAGACAGCTGGCCAATGACAGAGGAGTGGCGCTAGAGTCATCAGAAGCCAAGGGACTCAAGAAAAAGCTCAGCGAGAAGTCCCACGATAAGGAACTAGACAAGGCTTATAAATATGAAACATATTTCAATTTCCGTAGACAAGTGTCACACATTCAACCTCATCAGGTAGGGTTTAGTCCGTAGACAAGTGTCACACATTCAACCTCATCAGGTAGGGTTTAGTCCGTAGACAAGTGTCACACATTCAACCTCATCAGGTAGGGTTTAGCCCGTAGACAAGTGTCACACATTCAACCTCATCAGGTAGGGTTTAGCCCGTAGACAAGTGTCACACATTCAACCTCATCAGGTAGGGTTTAGCCCGTAGACAAGTGTCACACATTCAACCTCATCAGGTAGGGTTTAGCCCGTAGACAAGTGTCACACATTCAACCTCATCAGGTAGGGTTTAGCCCGTAGACAAGTGTCACACATTCAACCTCATCAGGTAGGGTTTAGCCCGTAGACAAGTGTCACACATTCAACCTCATCAGGTAGGGTTTAGCCCGTAGACAAGTGTCACACATTCAACCTCATCAGGTAGGGTTTAGGTTCAGCCCTTTTTTTCAGAGGAATATTTTTTTTGGGGGGAAAGAGGCTGAAGTTGTATTGGTACAGTGTTATTATATATATCAGTTTGTTTTGTAACATTGGATCAATAATTACCAGTTTTATGTAATGTAGATTATATAATTACTTGTAGGTACTGTATGACTGTTATTCAAAATCATTGCTTTAAGATAAGGAAAAATGTATTTTTTCTCAATGGAATGAAAGTAACATTGGAAATGGTATAAAAAAACATATTATTGTGTATTGTTTAGATGTCTGGTAGGTACCATATAACTGTGCGATTCAAAATGATTAATTTCACATCAGGAAAAATGGAATTGTTTTTTAAAAAAAAAGAGAAAGTAACAGCTAAAATGATATAGAAAAAACCCTGTAGAATGAATGTTTGTTGTCTGTTTGTACCTCACATCTGATTCAGTATTTCCCCCCATCTTTTTGAGGTTCTGGCAATCAATAGAGGAGAGGAACACAAAATTTTATCTGTAACCATCACCTACCCCCAGAATATAAAACACAGGTTTTCCCAGTCCCTAAAGAGACGCTGGCTTAGAGAGGAACATCGTATGCCTGCAGCTGCCATCGCTATGGTCAAGAAAGCTATAGAGGATGCATTTGACCGTCTGACACAACCACAAATGACCAGACAGATCAGGTACAATATTTCACCTAAGTTAATTGATTGTCGCAGCCACAAATATTTGGAAAAATCAGGTTTTACATACCATATGACAAACTAGGGGTAATTCAGAGCCTGTAGTGAAATAAACAATCATTCAGTAATGAAATTGGTGGTTTTATTTGCAAGATCAACAGACGATAATTCTAATTATGATTTTTTTTTTTCACATTTTTGATATTTCCGTGATACAGTCTGTATTTGCAGTAGATAATTGTATGGGTATTCACAATATTGAAGAAAAGATGTTGGGAGAAGTGATATAGCATGTATCTTGCTGACCAAACTGAGGATGCGGCCTTAAGAATGCTGGTTTGATTTCAGGTCCGAGTTGTTGAAAGAAGCCAGGAAATCCTCCATTGAAGTGTTCGCTAAAAACCTGAAGCAGCTCCTCCTGATGCAGCCATGTAGAGGAAAAAGCATCATCGGGCTAGACCCGGGATTTACCAACGGCTGCAAGACGGCCGTCATCTCTGACACGGGTATGTTACTGTAACAAACTGGTGTGAAATAGGGTTTATGATTCTTTTCATTCTTAGATAATGTACAGCTTGTCTGATATACACCTCTCTATCCTAGTGACTTTGTATCTGTTTGTTCTATGATGTGAGTTGAATGAAACGCATGTAATTATACATGTATAATATGAAGACTTTGTGAAAAGATTTTATCACATCCACACTAAAGATAGTCTCTTTTTGAATTTATATCTGCTCAATGAGCTTACACTTTGCCTGTTCAGTATTTAGATTAAATTTCTCAATCGACTGATTATCAGATGATACTGGGGAATGAATAATGAAAATGGTAAGAAAAAATTCTAATGTATGAATATAAGCAAACGCCCGTGAATTTGTGGTGGCCTTGTGGTTAAAGCGTCCTGACTGTCTACAATCACTAGTCCCCGACCACTGGGTTGTGGTTTCCATGCCATGCTCCTGATTGTCTGCAATCACTAGTCCCCGACCACTGGGTTGTGGTTTCCATGCCATGCTCCTGATTGTCTACAATCACTAGTCCCCGACCACTGGGTTGCGGTTTCGATGCCTACATGAGGCACGCCATGTACTGGCCACATGTCAGTGTTTTCTTTACCAGGTACCCCTGGATTTCCTGCATCACGAAATCCTGGCACATCCAGTCCTTAAATGACCATAGCTGTTAATAGGACGTAAAACACAATCAAACTAGACAAACGATGGTAATGCTATTAATACAATCAAATACAACATATATATATTATGTGTCAGTAGTATTAACGACATTATGGTCCAATGTGGGCACAGGATCCGAACACAGAAATATTGGTTGGAAGTATATTACTTAAATCGGCAATTATGCAAAAAAAAATATTGACAGTGTAATCCGCCTCTTCCTCAAGACAGAAATATGAAAAATTACATATCACAGCACTCATGTAGTATGTTGGTGTTATTGCGTATCCCTTTGGCTAGTCTGCAGCTAAAGACTAATTGCAATAAAGGATTCATCTGGAAAAAGTGAATTCAAGTGATTTGATAGAAAAAAAGTATTAAAATAAAAGTGAGTAAATATTACCATACTTGTGTGTCTATGTTATACGTTTAAGCGTGGCATGAAAAAACCCGTGACAGAAATGGGATGTCTCTCCACGTCAAAAGGCTATATATGTATATATCCTAGTAATTTATGAATGTTATCAAGTGTGATGTATGTCAAGTTTAATATAATCAAATATGATGTTATTACTAGAACCGGTATATTGATCATGTAAATATAGCTGTAATGTAAAAACTTACTGATATTAAGTGAGCAAGGCTCTGTAATCTTTTGTTGAAATATTGCACACTTTGTTTTCAGTCTACATGAATATATTTTTATTGTCTACAGGAAAAGTACTTGACACAACAGTGTTATATCTGAGGGATCACTCTATGAAGCGAAAGATATTAGACCTGGTTTCTAAACACAGGTAGGGACAGATTTACCTAATATCATAGATATGCCCGAAGGGCAAGTGAGCTTATGCCATGGTGCGGCGTCTGTCGTCCGTCTGTCCGGCGTCAACTTTTTACTTTTAAACAACTTATTTTCAGTAACCAAAAGGCCTAGGATGATGATATTTGGCCAGTAGCATGCTGGAATGAAGGGCTACCAAGTTTGTTCAAATTAATGACCTTCATCCATTTTCAAGGTCACAGGGGTCAACTATGTTAAAAAACCTTAAACAACTTCTCAATAACCAAGAGGCCTAGGGTGATGATATTTGGTCAGTAGCATGCTGAGTTAAAGTGCAACCAATTTTGTTCTAATGAATGACCTTTACCCATTTTCAAGGTCACAGGGGTCAAATATGTTTAAAACCTTTAAAACAACTTCTTCTCAATAACCAAACAGCCCTGGATGATAATGTTTGGCCAGGAGCATGCTTGGAAAATGGGCTACCAAGTTTGTTCACATAAATGACCTTCACCCATTTTCAAAGTCACAGGGGTCAAATATGTTAAAAACCCTTTAAACAACTGTGGCAGTATGAGATTTTTTAGTAATCATGTGTTATGTACATGTATAGTGTGTGCTTATATTGATTAAATTAAATGTCTTAAAACCTTAAACAACTTCTCAATAACCAAGAGGCCTAGGGTGATGATATTTGGCCAGTAGCATGCTGAGTTAAAGTGCAACCAAGTTTGTTCCAACGAATGACCTTGACATATATTCATGGTTGCAGGGGTCAAATATGTTTAAAACCTTTAAACGACTTCTTCTGAATTACCAAGAGGCCTAGGGTTATGCTATTTTGCTAGTTTTGATGCTGGGATGAAGGGCTACGAAGTTTGTTCAAATGAATGACCTTCGCTCATATTCAAGGTTACATGGATCAAATATGTTTAAATCTTTAAATATGTTATGAATATTGGCCAGAAGCATGCTGGGATGAAAGGCTATAAACTCTGTGTTCAACTTCATGTCCTTGTTTGTCTTTCAAGGTCACAGGCGTCATATGTTTAAATCATTTAATAGATTCTAATGAATCGAACACACGATATTTTGCCTGTAGCTGTATATTAGTCCACTTTTAAGATTACAAGTGTGAGATTAATACCAGGTGAGCGAGTTAGGCCCATTGGGCCTCTTGTTACATATTGTATCAGTTACGGCATGCTTATCCATCAAATCAAGGAAAAGATAAACAAGAATGTTCCCTGTCATGTTATATAGACAAAGCTTATCAGTGTAACAGTTATAGTATTCAAGATTTTAATTATCTTTCAGAAGTGCTTTCCCCTCAGTATCAGTTTCCTAGATGAGGTCATAGACTGGCTTTTTAATTAATTGAATTATCATTGTAGATGCAACATTATTGCCATAGGAGATGGATCTGGATGTCGGGAGACAGAAAAGGTGATTTCAGATGTCATCAAAGAAAACAAAGCAAACATCCATTATTGGTAAAGATGCTTTTTCATTATCAAGGATTTAATTAACTCACTTGGCATCTTGATTCATATTTAGATGTAGTTTGATGGGATGAAGGGCTACAGTGTTTGTTCAAATAAAATCGCCATGATCCACTTTTGTCACATGGGTCATTAGTATTAAAAAGTTTAAATGGCTTCTTCTTAAAAGTGTATTATAATCAAACAATAGGAGTATAAACTAAATGTACATTGGCAAGATCAGACTCAGAAGTAAATAAATGTGTTTAATACATATATATTCGGCTGCGCAATAAACTCATGCTTTCTGATTCGTTAGAAAAACACAAGTGTGTGGTCTTGCTTTTATCACATACCTTCCGTATTTGGTAGAGATCGATACAAAGATTTCATAAACTTTAATATTTTTTGCAAATACCAGGAATTTTTCAGTTCACCATGACAAGGGGATTCCCATAGAAAGTAATTCCGGCTAGTAGGTAAATACAACATTCCGTATCGCACATGTGCAATACAGAACGCTGTATTTCATGGTCTGAAAATTGCTTGTATTACTATAACAAGATTCAACAGGTATGTGACAAATGTATGTACCACAGCAACCACAAAACTGGGAGTCGTAACATATTTGTCAATAAATGTTTGAATTCTTATTGACTTCTTATTCAACATCACATGTAAATTGTCTTAAAAAATATACAACATGTAGCTTGCAGAAGTGTAGGTATGTTCAAGTCTGAGGGTGTTAAATAAAATGGCAAAATCCAACATATACCTGCTACTTAACAACCTCTTGATTAGCCAATGTTAATTAGCAGCTCAGCTTAAAATATATTTGGGCCAAATACAACATAATTTATTGACAGGTGAGGAATGCAGACCCATTGCATTTGTTTAGATTGTGACATTTTGCTCGTAACTCGATTATTAAAAATATCTTCAATCTATGAAAATTGTAGAAATTATTTATAGGCAATGATAACCTCCATGATTAGAGAAAAAAATTAAAGTTGAAATGTAGTAACATGTAAAACTAATATGTATTACAGTATTGTGAGGGAGAGTGGAGCTTCCATATACAGTGTGACAGATGTAGCCAAGCAGGAACTGCCAAATTTAGAACCATCTTTACGAAGTGCAGGTATATAAGTCTAAACATCTCTTCACCATCACTTCACGGGTGCATTCCCATCTTTTGTTAGGAAAGAGGTAAACCTGTTGTTACCTATCTAGGAAAACACAGTGTACAAGGTATTGTTCTGAAAATTTCACCATTGTGTGTTTACTTCATGCAGTGTTTCCAATGTAGTGTCCTCAATGTTGCCTCATGTGTTGTTGTTGATGGAGCAGTGCACGAGGTTCACCAATACAACTGAGTTTTATGGTAGGAAAGTGTTGTAGAAAACTAATCACTCACCCCTGCCTGCAGGATGCAGACAGGTAATTCTCAACCCTCGACATAAGGTGTCTGAAGTTAAGCACCCAGCAAATTACAGCCTCTCGCTTAACTTCACAAATCTCACTTGTGAGTTGAAAGTACCATCAACATTACACAGGAATGAAACATCCTGACTATTAAATACAGAATATAGAAGGATAAAATGACTAATCTTGTCATGTTCCTGTGCAGCTGTGTGGAGATATCTGTAGTGACATTGACCAGGACACCCTATTTTAGTTTTGTATTGCTTGTTTTGACAGACTTTGAAGGAGTGATGACTGCATGTTGTAATATAAACTATTTCAGTTTCCATTGCCAGACGTTTATTGGACCCTCTTGCTGAGTTTGTGAAGGTTGATCCTAAACACATCGGAGTAGGACAATACCAGGTAGTTATCCTAGTCAGTGAAAGTGAAGGTCAAAGATTCTATTTAAAAGAACTCTACTTTAGAAAACACTTGTAACAAAAGTAGCTTTTTTGATGTAGACCATTGTCTTTAACATTTGTAAAAGGATAACATCAGTGGATAAAATCAAGGTTATTGGAAGGGCATTACAAAAGGAGACTATTAGAGATACATCTTCAGTCAAAACTTTAGTGAATTTAGTAAAGGTCAGTCAAGTGAGCATGTGAGGTACTACATCCATAGAAAGAGCTGATTGATGTTTGACATTCCAGCATGACATGCCAGAGAAACAGATGCAAACTTCCCTGGACTCAGTTGTGGAGGAGTGTGTCAGCTTTGTGGGAGTGGACGTCAACACGGCTAGTGAACATCTCCTCCGGTAAGTTACACAGTGGACGTCAACACGGCTAGTGAACATCTCCGGTAAGTTACACAGTGGACGTCAACACAGCTAGTGAACATCTCCTCTGGTAAGTTACACAGTGGATGTCAACACGGCTAGTGAACATCTCCTCCAGTAAGTTACACAGTGGACGTCAACACAGCTAGTGAACATCTCCTCCGGTAAGTTACACAGTGGATGTCAACACGGCTAGTGAACATCTCCTCCAGTAAGTTACACAGTGGACTTCAACACAGCTAGTGAACATCTCCTCCGGTAAGTTACACAGTGGACGTCAACACGGCTAGTGAACATCTCCTCTGGTAAGTTACACAATGGACGTCAACACAGATAGTGAACCTCTCCTCCGGTTAGTTTCACAGTGGACGTCAACACGGCTAGTGAACCTTTACCTTCGGTTAGTTACACAGTGGACATCAACACGGCTAGTGAACATCTCCTCCGGTAAGTTACACAGTGGATGTCAACACAGCTAGTGAACATCTCCTCCGGTAAGTTACACAGTGGACGTCAATGCAGCTAGTTAACATCTCCTCCGGTAAGTTACACAGTGGACGTCAACACATGTACAGCTAGTGAACATCTCCTCCGGTAAGTTACACAGTGGACGTCAACACAGCTAGTGAAGATCTTCATTGAATAATCCTTTTTAGCATGGTAAAATGTTCTTTCCAGGACATAACACAATGCCTGTGATACCAGTTATATGTTGTAAGGAAATGTAACTCTGTTTCCAACCACTCTTTTGTTTTTTTATTATTGGTTAAAGAAATAATTATATCACGTGGGTTTTATCCAGGTACTCATTACACCCCTGTATATTTTCATCGAGACCAACAAGAGTGATTAATATAGCTTGCTTCATAAGTGTTGTAACATAAAGTTTATACTGAAATAAAGATACTGTCATCAGTGATTATCTCTGCTACCTGTTTACCAGGCAGACATTTTATGTTTACCAGGGTATTGTCTGGACTGACAGCTTCTGTCTTCTGATCTGTTTACTAGGAGGACAGCTGGACTGACAGCCACCCGTGCCAAGAACATTGTCGAGTGGAGAGAAAAGAATGGTGCGTTCATCAACAGGGACCAGATCAGACATGTAAAAGGTGTAGGGCCCAAGTCTTATGAACAGTGTGCTGGCTTTATTAGAGTTCATAATACCAGTCCAGCCAGTCTGACTACTGAGTAAGTCGCTACACCTGTATGTCCGTAGTCAATCCTGTCAGTATCTATCATGGTAACAACTCACCGGACATTATGTCCTACATGGTTAATAGTGATGAGAGACTGTGGGTCGAAGTTTGGTGGCATGGTGTGTTATCACAGTACCAGAGAAAGTCACATAATTTTCATGAATTTTTACTTTATGGAAAGTTTCTGAAACGTCAGAATTCCCATTTGTGTAAGAAAAAGAATCAACTGATTTAATCCTGTAGAAAGTAGAAGTGATTTACAGTAATGTACTTGTAGAGTAAAAGAAGAAGAACCTGAGGCGTCCACATCTGCGTCGGGAGGTCGGAAAAGGAAAGCAACTACAAAGGTCACCAAAGCCAAGAAAGCCAAGATGTCTGACCAACCTAACCCGCTGGATATGACCTCCATCCACCCAGAAAGTTACCCACAAGCTCAACAGTGAGTTATATACTTAACAGTCCTCAAACTCAATGATGTTCATAACATATATTGACCATTGCTTTTATTTCCTTACAAGACAACATTGTCCTACACATCTCCGTTTATACTGTTTCTGACTGACATGAGTTTAAAGTTGATGTCTGGAATAGTTGTTGAGGAATGCTCCTGAAGCAATAATTAGGGCCCCACATCAGAGATGCAGGTGCCCTACAGTAATCACAGTCTGTCCACACTTTCGTTTCCGGAGATTATCGTGGAATCCAAAAGACCAATTTTTCTGAAATTCAACATGGTGATACGTTGTTAGATAAAGATGTGCAATAGGAGTTTAAAAAGTTTCTAAGGTCATATCAAGGTCACTGTTGCTGAAAAAACTGAGCATGGGGGGACGGTCAGGCACATGGTGGGGCTCTTGCTTATCTGTCAGTGTTCTAGTAATTGGTCCACCACCAGTTCCCGGGGGGGGGAGGGGTACTATAGGTTTGCATTCCATCTGTCCTTCTGTCTGAGATGTTTGTCTGGGACGTATCTTCTATATTATTTCACCTGGAGTAACCAGATTTGGTGTACAGGGACATCTTTGGATGGTGGGTGCAGAGTGCAAGAAGGTCACTATGACCTCACTGTGACCTATGCTTTGACCTTTGACCATAACTTTTGAAAAAGTTTCTCCGGGGCATATTTTCTATACTATTTCACCTGGAGTAACCAGATTTAGTGTACAAGGACATCTTGGGATGTCAGAGTGCAAGAATTAGGTCACGGTGAGCTTTGACTTGACCTTTGACCTTTACTTTTGAAAATGTTTGTCTGGGGCATATCCTATACTATTTTACCTGGAGTAACCAGATTTGGTGCACAAGGACATCTTGGAATAACAGAGAGAAGTGTGCAAGAATAAGGTCACTGTGACCTTTGGCTTGACCTTTGACCTTTACTTTTGAAAAGGTTTGTGATTGACAATATAGAAATCATTACCGATGGGAGACTATCGATTGCCTTGCAATACTTTGCCTGGTTAATGGTTGCCATGACAAAGTGACTTTTGTTATTTTTGCAGTCTGTAAAATTTATCTCCAGAATTTGTATTTATTGTGATCATGTTAGATGCAGTAAATTTAAACTACCTTAATTTTCATTGGTTTATAATATGTGTTATTTAGACTTCTGGAGAGAATTGGAGTGAATCCGTCACAAGTAGGACACACCAATTTCATACGACAAGTTCAGGATTTCACGAGGAAGACAAGTAAGTTCAATCTTTATATCTTATAGATGCCTGGTTCATGTATGTTCTACATGTTCAGGACGTCAGGAGGAAAACAAGGGGAAAAAAAGTGTGAAACATTAGATATACTGTATACTAAATTAACTATCGTCATTGAATTTGAAGTACTGTTTTATCTGAAATGTCCACTACTTACTACTAAATCTTCGTTCTTTTGTGTTGGTATATATATATGTTATAGGTGTAACCAAGTTGGCAGAGGAGTTTTCTGTAGGGGAACCAACCATGAATCTCATTGTTGGAGCCTTACAACAGCCACTTAACTACGATTTCCGTGAAGGTGAGAAAACATAAAATAACAAAATGATTTGATTGGGGTTATCATAGCAAAGGGCAATTTTCTATAACTATACTTAGGAATTTAAGCGATAGAGCAAGTTTCTTCTTATTTTACTGTTAGCTCTTATAGCTAAGAGTCTAGTAGAATCAAGCTTTTTGTGAAAATGTGTTTTACCTTTTAACATTTAATTAAAATAATACAATCAGTAAAGTCTGCCATAGTTTACTTTAGCAGATGACGATATGTCTTCCTATTTTATAAGAACACAATTATATGCTATACCATAATTAGAAATGAAAATTTACATTGATGAAAAAATATTATTATTTCTTTTGTTCTTTAGGATTCGAAAAACCTTTATTTCGGTCAGGAACACGAGGATTTGATGAACTCAAGGTTGGGGAAACACTCACAGGAAAAGTGGAGAATGTAACTCACTTTGGGGCATTTGTTGATGTGGGGGTGGGGGAGACAGGGCTCCTCCATAACAGTGGTATGAAGGGACAGAGCATACAGCTAGGCAACCGCCTGGAGGTGAAAGTCCTCTCACTGGACAAGGGGCGAAAACGATTCGGACTAGAATTTGTCAAGTTTGGTTAGCCTAGTTTTGTAATCTGTGCTAGATGTTTTGAATTGGGACCAAGGACTAATGGGTAAGGCAATAGTGGTTTACATGTACAATCAGGTTGTTAATTGTTTAAATGGGAGTACATGTATATTGTAATAATGATGGAAAAGTTTGTAGAAGAGTGAGAGAGATTCAAGATGTGAAATTATGTCATAAGATGTATATTTCACAATATTTGCCAATCTAAATCTTGCAAAATATGTCTGTGAACTTTTGCATAATTTGAATACAATTTCAGATACCTGGAAAATATGTTTTCTGCTGAAAAACAAGTACATGTGTCATGTCATGTCATGTATTGTTTTCTTGTTTCATCTATTGGCTTGTTTCTTTAGAAGAATTCCAATTTTTTTCGCAGGTATTTAAGTGTAAAGATTTGTGATTAATTCAGTCAAGATTATTTTGATAAATGTGTATTATTCGATTTGACTTACTTAAGCTAAATCTATTACATTGTATATTAATTCATGATTAATATTACGTTGGCCATTTAATATGACTACATGTATACTTCAGTCTTTTTACTGAATGACACTGGTAGTCCTCAGAATGAGATTCATCAGTTTGGTATGAATAATAGATGCAAAGTTAGTGTTTAACACACTCAATAATTTAAAACTTATTTTGCGAGCTTTCTAAAGTGTCTGTTTCTTTGTCATACATAGAGTGTAAATTATCTGTGTCTCGACTCAATTGCTGAAAACAACTCGCTAATTAGCCACAGTGTGCCAAGTCAGCTGTCAGAAATTGTCAATATTTTCTGACAGCTGACTTTACTGACTGGGCACATTGTATAGGGTTAAAAAGAGATATATTGTATTTGGTTTAAAGATAGGCTATGTGTACTAATATTCTTGTAATAATATTCTGATAATAGTTAATTATAACCTATATTCAGAGACCAACTTCAACTTTATGACCAGAGATTGTGCGAGGATGCTAAGCTCCAAATTAAAGGATACCTATGGGATGTCCATTGATTGGTCTACTGTAGCAGGTGGTTTCTAAATATAGATTCAATTAACATGACAATCATTGTAACGGGGAGAAGTAAAAAGTGGTCTTTCACTTGAGATACTTGTAGTGATTGATGCTTTAATAATTACATGAATGCAGGTGAATTTTGAATTTTGCTGTTTTTAGAATGTTTTAACTATGATGTGTGTTTATGGAATCAATATTATCCATAATTGAAATGAATAAAATTATCGTTATTTTCTAATTCCAGAATTTGTTTGATTTTGTTTTACCCCTGAACTAGCTATAGGCTGCATGACTTGAGCAGATTTGACCTTTCTGACCGTTCCAGTCCTACAAGTCGGTTCTCTGATACAGGATGAGCAGTAGGTTCTTATCAAAGGTGGACACTGATTCCTCCAATAAGTAATAATTACTCAACACAGCGAGGCATTAAGTTAGTGCTTTAATACCTTCCTGGTCAACAATAAACGGGACCTTCAACATCGGTAAATGTGGAGCGAAAATCACTTCAAAATGTCTGACACACGTCTGAAAACCACCAATTACAGAGCTGTTAACAACCTGCTTTGGCACAGAGATTTGATGGTTAGTTCTTGATAACATAATGCGACAAGTCACTTGATTTGCCCAAGTCAAGCCAAGAGCCGGAACATGCTTTCTTGTTTCCTTGGTCTTCATAGAATCGGTCACCTAAAATAGGAAAGGACCTTATATTACTTAAATGTGATACTTTGTGAAAAGAGTTGTTAAATAAAAGGCAACACATGATAAATTCTGTGCAACTAATGTAAAGAAAATCTGGCTTAAATGCCCAGGCAACTTACAGAAATAATTAATTGAAAAATATTTTATTATGATTTGTGTGTCATTTGCAATAAAAGATCAAACTTGTAAAAGTGAAAATCATCAGTCAATGTCAAAGGCCAAGTTACGGAAGCAACAACCTCCATTGTATAACCTACATTAACTGTACACTTATTCTGCTTTTGTAAGTATTTGAACTTCGATCAGCTCACCTGGTTGACACAGACAATCGGGATGCCATATTGATGGCTGAGCTGGTGAAGAGTGGCAGCGAAGGATGTGAGATGTTTGGACCGCTTCACCATCTCCCAAGCCTCGTATTCACAGCGGAACAGGGCAGCCACTGAGTCCACCACAACAAGCTTGATTACTCCTTTACTTAACAGCAGGGGCAGCTTCATCTTGATACACTTGGTCAAGTCTTCCTAAAAGATCAGAAATTACATGGCAAGGGATGACAACAGCTGTGTATCTATATTTATACAGAGTAGTGGCTGAATTATTGTGCCTAGACTTTATTGTAAAACACCTTCAGTGTGTATTACATCATGGATTTATAAGTACATCAATGATAACATTCACAATTTACATAGATACCATGAAAACTGCAAAATACAGGATACAGGAAACTAGTAAACAACTTAACTGACTCAATTTACAGTAAACCATCTGGCTTTGAGAGATTGTATCAGTGAAATGTTTCTCAAGTGTCAAACTACAAAAGAAGGTTCCTAGGAATATTTAATGTTTGTTTAATATAAATCATATAGTAAGACTTTAACATACAAATGTAGTCTTAGTCACAAAGAGGATGGAAGAACAGACCTTAATCCACGGGCCTACTGTCCTGGTCTGTATTCAGTTTCAAATAATTACCTAGTAATTACTGTAAATAAATTCTAGTTTACATATTCAAGGAGAAATTATAATGCTCCTGGTGTAAAAACATGACAAAATTATGAGTGACATTGGTTTTACATGTATATTAGTGTAAATATGCATGATCACTAAAAAATCTTTAAAATCAACAAGAATTCCGTGAAAGTGGATGTGTCGCCTGTGCAGGAAGCTGGGAGATTACTAAGAAATAGATACACTTTTCATTTCAAGAAATAATGTTAAAAGTAAGCAATAATCAGAGATTATGTTTTTGGATGGCATCATTTTGTTATTAATCTGTTATTTTGGGAAGAATACTTTGAGTTTTAAGGAACTTGCTATGGATATTCATTGTCTCAATTCCAAGTTTAATTTGTTTGATTTGTCGGATGGTTTCCCATAAATAAATCAATAAACTTATGGATTATGATGTTAAACAGCTAGTGTTGTCAATAACATTTGGTGTAAGACGGCATTTCAGAGGTATACACGGTGGGTCAAGTGGTAGATCGAAGCCGTCCAGTAAACAGTTTTAGTGAAGTTTCTATTTATAGTAACAGTGACCTTGACCTTTGACCTTTGGACCTGAAAAGCAATCCCAAACAAGCACTTTTGGTAAGAAAGCACTGCAAGAAGTTTGAGTTTGATCGGCCCAATGAAACTCAAGTTATCACACGAAAACCTCTGTTCGGACGACGACGCTGATACCGCCGACATAGCAATACCTATGTGTCACCAGCTTTTCGCAGGCGACACAAAANAAAACACCTTCAGTGTGTATTACATCATGGATTTATAAGTACATCAATGATAACATTCACAATTTACATAGATACCATGAAAACTGCAAAATACAGGATACAGGAAACTAGTAAACAACTTAACTGACTCAATTTACAGTAAACCATCTGGCTTTGAGAGATTGTATCAGTGAAATGTTTCTCAAGTGTCAAACTACAAAAGAAGGTTCCTAGGAATATTTAATGTTTGTTTAATATAAATCATATAGTAAGACTTTAACATACAAATGTAGTCTTAGTCACAAAGAGGATGGAAGAACAGACCTTAATCCACGGGCCTACTGTCCTGGTCTGTATTCAGTTTCAAATAATTACCTAGTAATTACTGTAAATAAATTCTAGTTTACATATTCAAGGAGAAATTATAATGCTCCTGGTGTAAAAACATGACAAAATTATGAGTGACATTGGTTTTACATGTATATTAGTGTAAATATGCATGATCACTAAAAAATCTTTAAAATCAACAAGAATTCCGTGAAAGTGGATGTGTCGCCTGTGCAGGAAGCTGGGAGATTACTAAGAAATAGATACACTTTTCATTTCAAGAAATAATGTTAAAAGTAAGCAATAATCAGAGATTATGTTTTTGGATGGCATCATTTTGTTATTAATCTGTTATTTTGGGAAGAATACTTTGAGTTTTAAGGAACTTGCTATGGATATTCATTGTCTCAATTCCAAGTTTAATTTGTTTGATTTGTCGGATGGTTTCCCATAAATAAATCAATAAACTTATGGATTATGATGTTAAACAGCTAGTGTTGTCAATAACATTTGGTGTAAGACGGCATTTCAGAGGTATACACGGTGGGTCAAGTGGTAGATCGAAGCCGTCCAGTAAACAGTTTTAGTGAAGTTTCTATTTATAGTAACAGTGACCTTGACCTTTAACCTTCGGACCTGAAAAGCAATCCCAAGCAAGCACTTTTGGTAATGAAGCACTGCATGAAGTTTGAGTTTGATCGGCCCAAGGAAACTCAAGTTATCGCACAAAAAACTCTGTTCGGATGAAGACGCTGACACTGCCGACGCCGACATAGCAATACCTATGTGTCACCAGCTTTTTGCAGGCGACACAAAAACTAGAACATAGACGGGTCAGCAAGTGTGTCTTGACTGTATGTATATCCAGATTCCTCCATAATTCACGAGCAGAAGTCGCAGCAATCATTTTTAATTACAGAATAGAAAATACAGATAAAAATGCATTTCAAATATATACCAGTGATAAGTACCAAGTATGATCAAAATCAGACTAGCAGAACAGAAATTGTACTACATGTAATAGCACTAAGGTTAAAGCCATATTTGTCTTGACCAATCAGAAGCAAAGTGTGGTGACCTTGGATTTTGGAATCTGGGTAATATAGTGTTATTAATGTAAGATATCCACCCTTTACAATCAATGTAGTTTTGACAATATATTCTATTTATCGTAACAGTGATCTTGACATTTGACCTGTGGTCATCTTGGACTTTGGGATCCTGGTAATATGTGGAAATTGACAGGGTTGATCATCAGTGACCAGGTAGCTCAATTGTTAGAATGCCCCGTCTGGACTTTGAAGGGTCTTTGCATGAGTTTGAACTCCGGGGTGGCTGTGCTTTTTTTCGCTCCTACAATTGGTGCCGGTGATCAACCCTTGTTTCAATAACTGGAGAAATGCTTGGCAAAGGGTTACCCGAACCGGGGTTGTAAATAATGATGTCTTCGGGGCAAAGACTTCGAAAAAGGAGGGAGGAATGTTGGTGACCAGGTAGCTCAATTGGTAGAACTGGTCTGGAGTTCAGAAAGTCCAGGGTTCGAACCCGGGTCTGGCCATGCCTTTTCTGCTCCTATTAAATTACAGCTTCATGTAGGCTATCAATCAAATGCTACTTACCATAAAATAAACACTGGTGGGTCAGAGAGGGCAATACATGTGCAATGTATTTTGACATATACCCTATTCTAACATGATTGACAGTGACCTTGACCTTAGGAACATTTTAAACCACTTCTACATGTAACAGTTGAACACAATGTAAATTTTCAGTAATTTTAGACTTCTTGATTCCAAGGAAATTTCTGTAAACAAGAGCGTAGACAGACAGATGGAATGTGTAAAATACATTGTATGGTCTTCACTAGTTTGGAAATATGGGGGGTTCATATTAGCATAAGTGCGGTATACAAAAACCTATACAATATGAGATATATACACTAAATATGTCGGACAGATGTCATGTATGATTTAATATAATGTAACTTCAGTTTTATCCAGTTAATGTATCTAATTGCACAACCCTATTATCAATGTCTACACTATTGCAATTAACTCCTTGTGCCATTGGGGCCACGTTGGCCGAGTGCAGGTGGTTAAGGCGTTCTGATTATCTTGATCACTATAGCCCTCCACCACTGGATCGAGGGTTCGAGGTCTACCTGAGGCAGTCGCCATGTACTGGCCACATGTACGACGGATGTCGGAAAGACACAGGCGTTGCTTTTCAGACGGCGGCGTCAACAATGTTAAGGTTTTGCGTTTAGCTCTGTTTCTGACAAGCTACACCAACAAAACCTCGATCATAGATGAAGCATGGATAGTTGAGCCTACTGCACTAAAAACATTTCAATGATTTCTGTACTGTTTTTTTGGTAAAAACCTCAAATTTCTGGACGTAGAAAAAAACTCAACATTAAGGTTTTGCGTTTAGCTCTTACATATTAGGCTGTTTCTGACAAAGTATAAATGCTAGAGCAACCAAACTTGGGTCATAGGTGTATCATGGGATGTTTAGCTGAATGCATTACACTCTTTACTAACATTTCAACGATTTCTGTATTCTTTGGCTAAAAACCTCAAATTTCTGGACTTAGAAAAAAAATCAACGTTAAGGTTTTGCGTTTAGCTCTTGCATATTAGGCTCTTTCTGACAAAGTATAAGAGCTACACCAATCAAACCTCAATCATACATGTACCATGGGTAGTAGAGCCTACTACTCTAAAAACATTTCATGATTTTCTGCACTTTTTCGGATAAAAACCTGAAATTTCTGGACTTTAAAAAAAATCAATGTTATGATTTTGTGTTTAGGTCCGTTTCCTTATGTACTATGTCAAATGCTGATTATATTGACAAAGCAGGACAGGCGACACATATAATTACGTGTAATTCTTGTTCTCTGGGAACTCTGGCTTCCTCCACCACCAAGACCTGGCACTTGTTTATAGGATGTAAAACAAACTAAACCTTGCGCCATAAATATATATATTGAACTCACCATGTCAGATACATGTTCTATAAATATTCTGTCTCCAAAGTTGATTGGTTTTGGCAGCTTAGCTGATGTTTTTCTGGTGAAGTGCTGAATCATTTGATGTAGTCTTTTATTGGGGAAGATATCCTCCGTACAAATGTAAGCAGCTCCTGTGTAGAAAAAAACAAGTCTAGTGAAAATATAAATTTCTGTGGACATAATATTGTTTTGTCTTTATCTTTGAGACTTGGACATAAACTACTATCTCAGATCAATTCTAGTTTATCGTCGAGGAAAGGTTTTCCAGTCATCCAATTTAGTTATACTGAAATGCTAGTAAAAAGCACAAATATTGTTGAAGGTATATTTTCATTGCACTTCCTTCATATCAAGCTACCAATGCAATGGCCCATAGTAACTACAGCACTAAGCATTCCAAATTGCTTCCAGGGATTGTAATGTTGTAAATGTAATGATCGTGGCCAGAATCAGCCAAGAGGTGTTCATTCAATTGAAAATACTTATGAGTTATAGATTCTGAGCATAGCCAGTCACGAGAACATGATTTATGTAAGAATAGAACTGGATTTTGGTTGTAACCATAGTAATAGGTAAGAGTATGGAATGGTTGTATGATAGACTGAGTTACATATTCTGAACAAAACACTGATGTACTTCTTGAGGAAATAATGTTGTGTTAAGTTTGTCGTGACATGGAAAAGACCTGGGCTACATTCGCGTATCCCGGTTGAAACGGTAGGTGTGGCGCAGAAATATTCCATGATAAACTAACGCACTTGGATCGTCCTATAAGCAGAGCTAAAAATGTAGTTTCGTAGAATAAAAAGCAATGTATCAAGAATATTAAATGCCCTTCTTCTATGTGTCCACTGAATTACATAACGCATCTTCAAAACTACATGTGACTTGAGATTGTTTTTTAGAAAGAAATAACGCAAACTAGCAATAGTCAGCATTTTAGTTTCAGTCAGGTACGTCTGGACTCCTCAAACTACATGTGCCAAATTTTCCTGAGGTCGAGATCTGTGCCTGTCATTTTCTTTACCGGTTCAACCGTGTCAACCGGATACGCGAATGTACCGTTGCGTACCCCCATTGAGTCCCCCGAGTTTCTGGGGTAGCTGCACTGTCAGACTAATCTGGAGACAAAGCTGGGTTTTACCACTGGCACTTTCCCCAGCTATTTCTGTAATTCCCTGGGAAAGAATTCCACCTGGATTTTGAAAGAAGAAACAAAAAGCTTTAACTTAAAAGTCTGAGTAACTGCGACTACATAATGAATCATCCTGACATATTACAACAGATAACTGAATCAATAAAAAATATTTTAAGTTAATGGCATGGGTGTAAATGTAATGATTAGTATGGTTTCAAGATTCTTTTTTATGTTAAAGAAATTTGGTTAAAAAAAATCAGGATAAAAAAGCTGAATACTTTTTATACATTTAGTAATGATAATACTCTTCTTAACCAAAATACCTAATCATGTACCTGTACATATACCATTGGTTTGAGAATTATTAAATCTTTAAGCAGAACTCTGTTTCACCTGTTAATTGTTGCTGACAAGGCTCCATTTTTCAAGTAAATGTGTGTGTTTTTACGGAATTGATTAGATATACTTTATAGACTGTAAGAGTTGCAAAATGATTTCTTCCTACTAAATTGTATTAATAGTATACGCCAACTGACACAAACCTCTTAGTGCTTTGTCGATGACATCACATCCTGTGGTCAGTTTGGATACTACAAGAGTCTCTGGGCAGTCTCGGTGCAGAATATCTAATGCTGAAGCAAAAGAAAAAAGAAAGACCATAAATGAAGATACCAGGTAAACCATAGTTAATGCAGTATATAGGCACTTGCTTATTTCGAAATGCAGTCACTCCAAAATTCTCACATAATAGCCATTATAGACACTTTTATCAAAATTGGTCAGTAAAGTGTGGTGAAGGAATGACATCATGGCTGTAGTTTAATGAATCTTCAACACTGAACAAGGATGTATCCTGCTGGTGCTGACAGTAACCTGATACAATAGGGAGTTGGGCCTGTCTGGGTATGGGTATGGTATCAGTACTGATAGTTAACTGACACAACAGGAAGTTAAGACTGTGTATGGTGTTAGTGTTGATAGGTACCTGAAACAACAGTGAATTGAGACTGTGTATGGTGTCAGTACAGATAGTTACCTGAAACAACGGGGAGTTGAGAATGGATGATGTCAGTACCGATAGTTCCCTGAAATAACAGTGAGTTGAGACTGTGTATGGTGTCAGTGTTGATAGTTACCTGAAACAACAGGGAGTTTATACTGTGTATAGTTTCAGTGCTTATAGTAACCTGAAACAACAGGGAGTTGAGACTGTGCATGATGTCAGTACTGATAGTTACCTGAAACAACAGGGAGTTGAGACTGTGTATGATGTCAGTACTGATAGTTACCTGAAACAACAGGGAGTTGAGACTGTGCATGATGTCAGTACTGACAGTTACCTGAAACAACAGGGAGTTGAGACTGTGTATGATGTTAGTGTTGATAGTTACCTGAACCTACAGGGAGTTGAGAATGGATGATGTCAGTACAGATAGTTACCTGAAACAACAGGGAGTTGAGACTGTGCATGATGTCAGTACTGATAGTTACCTGAAACAACAGTGAGTTGAGAATGGATGATGTCAGTACCAATAGTTCCCTGAAACAACATGGTGTTGAGACTGTGTATGGTGTCAGTGCTTATAGTTTCCTGAAACAACGGAGAGTTGAGACTGTGTATGGTGTCAGTGCTTATAGTTCCCTGAAACAACAGTGAGTTGAGACTGTGTATGGTGTCAGTGCTTATAGTAACCTGAAACAACAGGGAGTTGAGACTGTGTATGATGTTAGTGTTGATAGTTTCCTGAAACAACAGGGAGTTTATACTGTGTATAGTGTCAGTGTTGATAGTAAGCTGAAACAACAGTGAGTTGAGAATGGATGATGTCAGTACCAATAGTTCCCTGAAACAACAGGGAGTTGAGACTGTGTATGGTATCAGTGTTGATAGTTACCTGAAACAACAGGGAGTTGAGACTGTGTATGATGTTAGTGTTGATAGTTACCTGAAACAATAGGGAGTTTATACTGTGTATAGTGTCAGTGCTTATAGTAACCTGAAACAACAGGGAGTTGAGACTGTGTATGATGTTAGTGTTGATAGTTACCTGAAACAACAGGGAGTTTATACTGTGTATAGTGTCAGTGCTTATAGTAACCTGAAACAACAGGGAGTTGAGAATGTATGGTGTCAGTACCGATAGATACCTGAAACAACGGGGAGTTGAGACTGTGTATGATGTTAGTGTTGATAGTTACCTGAAACAACAGGGAGTTGAGACTGTGTATGGTATCAGTGTTGATAGTTACCTGAAACAACAGGGAGTTGAGACTGTGTATGATGTCAGTACTGATAGTTACCTGAAACAACAGGGAGTTGAGACTGTGTATGATGTTAGTGTTGATAGTTACCTGAAACAACAGGGAGTTGAGACTGTGTATGATGTTAGTGTTGATAGTTACCTGAAACAACAGGGTGTTTTAATTTGGGACTGTCTCTGTATGGTGTTAGTGTTGATAGTTACCTGAAACATGAGGGTGTTTTAATTTGGGACTGTCTGTATGGTGTCAGGGTTGATATTTACCTGAAACAACAGGGAGTTTTGGGACTGCCTGCGCAACTGCAGTCTTTAGGACATGAACATCGCCAGAGCTCAGATTTGTAGATCTTTCAATGTCTGGTGTGGACAAACTCAGTATGGATTCAAATGTTCTCAGACTAGCTGGAAGATAATCAATAGTAAATAACTGAGATAAAATACCATTTTAAGGTTTATGTTGTCATGAATTGGTATATCAAAATTACAAAATAAAACGAAACGGTAGTGTCAATACCATAACGCAATCCGGAATCGCTTACCTCCCTTCCCTTTTTTATCATTTATTAGTGACAGTAGTATCTCCACATCACCCATTTGTAATGCATGTATACAATAATTGTACAGTACACGTATTCTTCACAAATATGTGGCATATGAGGCTAACACAGAGAGTCACAATGGGACAAAAAAGACACACTGTTTTCATTCATTAGATAGTCGGTTGTAAAAGCCTAGCGTAGATTTGTGTTGCCATGTTTAACCATGTACCAGTTTTAGATAATTGGACTTGACTTCGACTAGTTTGCTCTGATATATTTATGAGAAATAACAATATATGCCACACCAGGATTCGAAACTGGAATTCTCATGTTGTTTGAAGGACATGAAATCAAGATCATTTCCAAGTTGTTTCCACTAGAAGTCGAGCACGTATTGCAGAGTATAAGTTAAATGCTCTTACCACAGGAACTAGACTTGTCTGTCAATACGTATTAAATCCTAGCTCTGTTTACACTATGTAGGGAAGTGCTTGGGATAGAATAATGTACTGCAAAAATAAATGTATTTGTACAATGTGGTATGGAATAGAGCAGCAAAAAGACGACTTAAGTGTAAACTAGTTTTACCTTTCCTGATTCCTGCAATTATTCGTGGATTTATATCCAGCTTTTCCATGTCAACTCATCTCTGTATTTTTCTACTTTCATTTTCGCGCCAGCAGTCAAGAGTAGGGAGCAGCTACATGTATTATTCTCTTTAGCTATCTATGTTCAACAGTAGTAACAGTTGAGGTTAACCTGACTATTTTTTTTTATAAAAAGTTCTTTTAAAAAACCCGTCACATATGAAAATGGTTTCAACGGTTTCTTTGTAAATCAACACTTTTTAAACTTAATTCTTCGGGATGCTCCCTAGATGTTAGTATTTGACGCGAGTAATGCGCCGTCTGGCGGGCAACTGAATGTAAACATGGTTGACGTGTAGAAGATTCAGAAAACTAATTTACGAGGACTATGTCGTGTCAGCTGACTTCACTAGCTCACTTTAGCGACATTTCAAAAGTTAAAAAATATCTTTTCCCAAATTTGAAGGAGGATTCACCAGAAAGGCTTCTAAAGAATGGTAAGAGATGTGAATAAGAGTGAACTTCTGGAGCAAGTTGGTTCAAATTGACATTTCATGACCTGAGACATCCCCAAGGGACCAAACAGAAGTCTGTATTATTGTTAAACCTGAAATGTCAACATGTCTTGCTTAAAGTATAGCATAGGGACTTTATATGCTTATAAACCCATGCAATGTTAGAGTCTGTCTATCACCATGACACAAGGCCCGAGTAAATGAGAAATCAATATAGGGAATATGTTCTCAATCTCTAAAACTGTAACAGATTGTCGTGTCGCTCACAGCTGTTGCTCCATACATTTTTTAAGGAAAATGGTGAAGTTAAAATACCAATCAGCAATTCTTGCTGCAGTAAAATGCTACAACCAATAAATTATAAATCATGCTCTTAGTGTCCAATTGCAAATGTGGTTTTGAAGGAGAGCCTCTCAGGGAACCAACCAACCTGCATGCATTTTTTTCTGCATGGAAAATGGGCATCAACATCATATGATTATATAGATACATGAGACAAATTCAAGGAGGCAGAAATGCCATCGGACATCCAAGGCCAGGATTCAAGTTTCTGTGTGAGCGTGACAATTTCAGATAGCATAACTCTTACAACCACAGATCCAAAGCTCTTTGGGACTCTTTTTCCATACATTAAGACTCAAACCTGTTGGCCCTATGTCACAAAAAAATTAAAGCTCATAAAAGATTATTCTATAGAGATTGTTATGGATATACAGTAGTTGCTGAACACACAAAAAAGGACATATACATTTGTAAGTGTTGCCTGCAAACGTCAAGCTCTAAGGCTGCAGGAATATATATTAATTATGTTGATATTGGTTTTTCAGTTATTTTGTCAATTCAAAAATGCTGAAAAATGATTCTTAACAACATATGCTTGAGTAAATTGGCCTTCAAAAGCTTCAGCTGTATGTACTGCTTCAAAACATGAAAACAAGGAACAACACAATATAATTTGATTGTCAAGGGCATAGAAATTCCACTTAAAATTTCCTATCATTATTGCATCCCCATTACATGACCAAAAAATGTTGAACCAAGAAACGTTTATAATTGCTTTTAGTCTAAAGTTTAAATAACCAACACAGTGATTACGTATCTGATTTAACATGTACCGCAGTCACAGAGGGTGGAGGCTGGGATGTGGAGTGGGATGACTGGAACGAGGAGGAAGATAGTGAGTCAGCTTCCACACCAATGGAGGAAGAAGCAACATCAGATTCCACAATGGCTGACACCAAACATGGCTGGCTACAGGACTGTGTCATCTCCTTGTCACCAGCCAATGACATGATTGCGATTGCAAATGAGCAAAAGATAGTGCTGCTGTCTCGTATGTTATCATTGAAAAACACAAAAATAGATAAAGAAAAAATGTATATGCATGTACATACATCTGTGATCTTTGCATTTTCCATTTATTTTGGTTTGATTGGCAATCTATCTATGCCTCATTACTTTTATCAATCACAAAAGCAGCTAATACATTATGAGATTCTGGTTGTGAAACACTGTACTATAATAATGCTATATGTTTTAATTGTGAAAGTTTTAAATAACATGCCAGATCTTTCATCCTATTGAGTTTTTCAATGTAATGCCTTACCAAGCATGTTTTGCTGATTATGTTGCAAAACAAAACCTTGAAAATGATAGAATGCTAATGATATAGGAATTGAATATAGAATGCTAATGATATAGGAATTGAATATAGAATGCTAATGATATAGAAATTGAATATAGAATGCTAATGATATAGGAATTGAATATCTGTTTGTTTGCGTAATCTGATGAGCCTCAACCAAGTTTCAATGACTTAAATTAATTTGCATGAGACTTTCTTTGAGTAAATAATGATTTTAAAAAAGTATATATATACAAATCGATATGTATGTTTAAATTCATGAGATTTGGTAAAATATCGGGTTTAATTTTGCTTCTCAGAGAAATATGACCCCCAAAATAAGGAAGCTGACATTGATACCAAGCTGACCAAAGTATGGGAAGGGACCATGCATCAGGAGGAAGGGTGAGTATCTGATTGAATATTCAGTACGAGGAGGGGTTATTGATTAGGAGGAAGGGTGAGTATCTGATTGAATATTCAGTATGAGGAGGGGTTATTGATTAGGAGAAAGGGTGAGTATCTGAATGAATATTCAGTATGATTTAAACATATTTTATTGCAAATAAATATTTACAAAAGAATTGGACACAAGTTTTACCAACTTATCAAAGTCCTTTTCTTCAAATACATGAATATGAACAATAACTTGATAAGGTAATTTACGCAATATACATTAATTATGTTTTTATATGGAAATGGAAAATAGAGACGAAGAAAAGAAGGAGAGCGAAATGAAGTAAAGGATAGTAACACAGATAGAGTAGATGAAAAATAGAGTGGAAGAAAAGACGGATAGAGTAATGAAGTAAATGATAGTAACACATGTAGAGTCAGAGAAAAAAAAATGAGTGATAGAGAGAGAAAGATGATCACATTCAGTCAAACCTGTTGCATTTGCTGATATAATTTTGGACAGATTTTGCAATTGAGGTATTTACATTAATGCTGAATTTAGGATCGCCATATAGGAGCAAGTCTAAAGTTAAATCATCACGAACAGGTTGAAGCTCTCTTATTAATAGATTACGATGCTGGGTGTATAAGGGACAGACACAAAGGAAGTGATAAGAGTCTTCACATGGATTACCGCATGCACATTCAGCTGTATTTGATAAATTTGCTCTAAATAGGTCATAGTTAAGGGAGCTCGCACGATTTCTCAAACGGCAATGAAGTATATTTGATTTACGGGAACCCCATACCAGAAAGCATTTATTTTGTGGTTTACCTTTTGATTTTATATTTGATTTAAATGAACTGAGAGAAGCCGAATTCCTTATAGATATATCTAGGTCATTCCACATTTTTGTAGTTGATGGGAAAAAAGAATTGCGCATTGTTTCAAGCCTAAAGTTTGGTTGTCTTAAATGTTGGGAATTTCTTAGGTTATAACGAGAAATATCCCCAATGCTATCTGGTAAGGTGTCACACAAATAATTAGGAGCTGTACCGTTTTTAATTGTAAAGAATAGGGACAATTTTCTGTTTTTCCTTCTATTACTTAGTGGAACCCAGCCAATTTCATTAAATATATGTTCAATTTTTGTGTAAATAGGTAGTCCTGTAACAATTCGTGCAGCATCTATCTGAATATTTTCAAGTTTTGATGAATTTGTCATTCCACAATTGTCCCAGACTTCACATGCATACTCTAATAATGGTCGAATGTACGTTAAATATAGTTTTTCAAGGTTATTTCTACTGAGTAACCATTTCATTTTACGAAGGGTTGCTATATATTTAGCCACTTTTTTGATAAGTTCGTCTACATGTTTATTCCATTTACCGTCGCTACTTAGTATAACTATTCAGTATGAGGAGGGGTTATTGATTAGGAGGAAGGGTGAGTATCTGAATGAATATTCAGTATGAGGAGGGGTTATTGATAAGGTGGAAGGGTGAATATCTGATTGAATATTCAATATGAGGAGGGGTTATTGATTAGGAGGAAGGGTGTTTTCTGGGAAATATAATTGATAAGGGGGAATAATGAATGTGGAGAGGGATTGTTAATAAAGAGGAATTATGGGTATCAGGGTTGGGGATCAATAAGAAGGAAGAGAGAATGACCAATCAAACAGAAGAAAGGGATAGTATTCCAGTCAGTCAGATCTGAGTTATGTTAGATCTTAGATCTTAGTTGTGATTCTTTGTCGTGGCTCTGCTTACTTCATTTTTCAAAGATTTTCATCAAGGTTTATACAAACTTCAGGTCAAGTACAAAAGACCTTGGATGATTTTGATTTTATATTTCATGGTTCTTGAGTTCAAAGCCAAAATCACTGTTAACATTGGTATTGCTATTTTCAGATCACCAATTGCTTATTTACATCAACCATTGCTATTTTGTCAACCAATTTTTTTCATCAGTTTTATACAGGTCCCCTGGGGACATTCATATCTTACAGATATTTTCTAGTTTATCGGTAGATGAAAAATTCTATGTGTACAAGAACTAGAGAGAAAATCATTTTGCTGTTTATTTTGATATTCATATACTTGTAAATACTTTTCAATCATTTAATGATTTGTATTACAGAGAAACCATCACAGCCATTCTGTGTTTACCCTTAGCCTCCCAGAAAAGGTATGTATTAATGTAGGGGTGTGTCAGTTTGTTAACCTCAGAGTTCCTGGTTCATCAGTCTGATGTATTATATCTGTGTTCACATGTGTGATGAAAGCATTGTTTGATTCAAGATCAGAAACTGTTTCTTAGACAATTTTTCATCAATCTCCTTTGATATGAATGAAAACTGTAGTAGAAATACATTTTTCTGGTAATTGGATTACTTCCCCTGGTTTGTTTCAGGAGTACACAAGGAGGTCCAGACTGGACGTGTGTTATAGTTGGCTTCTCCTCAGGACACCTCAGGATGTACACAGAAGTAGGTATTTATATACCAGACACAGTATGTGTGTCTCCTTGGGACACCTCAGGATGTAAAAAGAGGTAGGTATATATCTATACCAGCCAGTATGTGTGTCTCCTCCGGACACCTTAGGATGTAAACAGAGGTAGGGATATCTGTACCAGACACAGTATGTGTGTCTCCTTGGGACCCCTCAGGATGTGCACAGTAGGTATATCTATACCAGACACAGTATGTGTGTCTCCTTGGTCCACCTCAGGATGTGCACAGTAGGTATATCTGTACCAGACAGTATGTGTGTCTCCTCAGGACACCTCAGAATGTACACAGAGGTAGGTATATCCGTACCAGATAGTATGTGTGTCTCCTCAGGACACCTCAGGATGTAAACAGAGGGAGGTATATATCTGTACCAGACAGTATGTGTGTCACCTCAGGACACCTCAGAATGTACACAGAGGTAGGTATATCCGTACCAGATAGTATGTGTGTCTCCTCAGGACACCTCAGGATGTTAACAGAGGTAGGTATATATCTGTACCAGACAGTATGTGTGTCTCCTCAGGACACCTCAGGATGTAAACAGAGGCAGGTATATATCTGTACCAGACAGTATGTGTGTCACCTCAGGACACCTCAGAATGTACACAGAGGTAGGTATATCCGTACCAGATAGTATGTGTGTCTCCTCAGGACACCTCAGGATGTTAACAGAGGTAGGTATATATCTGTACCAGACAGTATGTGTGTCTCCTTGAGACACCTCAGGATGTAAACAGAGGTAGGTATATCTGTACCAGATAGTATGTGTGTCTCCTCAGGACACCTCAGGATGTACACATATGTAGGTATATCTGTACCAGACAGTATGTGTGTCTCCTCAGGACACCTCAGAATGTACACAGAGGTAGGTATATCTGTACCAGATAGTATGTGTGTCTCCTCAGGACACCTCAGGATGTACACATATGTAGGTATATCTGTACCAGACAGTATGTGTGTCTCCTCGAGACACCTCAGGATGTAAACAGAGGTAGGGATATATCTGTACCAGACAGTATGTGTGTCTCCTCAGGACACCTCAGGATGTTAACAGAGGTAGGTATATATCTGTACCAGACAGTATGTGTGTCTCCTTGAGACACCTCAGGATGTAAACAGAGGTAGGTATATATCTATCCCAGCCAGTATGTGTGTCTCCTCAGGACACCTCAGGATGTACACAGATTTAGGTATATCTGTACCAGACAGTATGTGTGTCTCCTCAGGACACCTCAGAATGTACACAGAGGTAGGTATATCCGTACCAGATAGTATGTGTGTCTCCTCAGGACACCTCAGGATGTAAACAGAGGTAGGTATATATCTGTACCAGACAGTATGTGTGTCTCCTCAGGACACCTCAGAATGTACACAGAGGTAGGTATATCTGTACCAGATAGTATGTGTGTCTCCTCAGGACACCTCAGGATGTACACAGATGTAGGTATATCTGTACCAGACAGTATGTGTGTCTCCTCAGGACACCTCAGGATGTACACAGAGTGTGTCTCCTTTGGACACCTCAGGATTTACACAGAGGTAGGTATATCTGTACCAGACACAGTATGTGTGTCTCCTTAGGACACCTCACATATACATACAGTTAAGTGTATATAGTCAGATCTTTCTTTCTGTGATCTTCAATCGAATGGTGAGAAACATAGAAAGTTGACAAAAGATAAGAAAAGTTTTGTGGGAATAAAAGTGGTATCTTGCATAAGGAAGTAACACACTTAGATAGGTTTGACTGCTATTTGATGCGTAACTGGATCTCGGAATGTTTGTATTTTCTGCATGTGATTGATTGGTATGTAAAAGTCATAACCCTACCTGTAACACAGAAGTATTGCATTGTAAATTTATGATCGAAAGATAAACAAAACATCAGTAAGGTCAACAAAGTTACATATTATCCTTATTCTGCTGTGTGATGATTTTCAATATTGATCTGTTTTTCAGTCGGGAACACTCCTTTTGTCACAGTTACTTCACACAGAACCTGTACAGAAACTGAAGTGTCACACCTATGAACCACCACGTTACCTGGGCCTAGCAGAACAGGTAGCTATAGAATAGATTAATAACTCTGTGGTCTGGCAACTGCGTAATATAAGATATTTCTAACTGTCCACAATAAAACATTAAAAAGGGAATCTCTGATGTGGAAAATGAGTTGAATTGTTGAATTTTTATTGTAAATTGATATCACTAGTTTCGTTTCTATATATATCATTTTGCTCAAATATTTCTTGTTTTGACAGCATGAAGAGCTTGTGATTCTCTTTAAGAGGGCACTGGTTACCATTGACGGTTTCAGTTTGTTTCAATCTCTGCGAGCCTGTAGGAACCAAGTAGCTCGAGGTGAGAAGCTTAATAGCCTTTATATCACTGAAAACTCTTGTACTCGACAATGTTATACACAGGGTCATGCAAAAAGGAAATTCACTTAAAGATCAGATTTGAAGCATAACATGTTATTTTAAGTTGAAATTAAAAAAGTATCAGTTTGTTTGTGTACATACATTTGTAACTTGATCCATATGAAACGCTTATTCATCATTTGCTGTTCCTTTATCAGCATGCATTGTTAGTTGTTTTGTGTTGATCAGCCACAGCCAGTGGGACAGACTCAGCCCTCCTACCTCCTCCATTGGCTTACAAAAAGTGGGGACTTCAGGGTCAGGAGCGGATCCTCGACTGTTGGAGTTGTGGTAAGTAGTGGGGACTTCAGGGTCAGGAGCGGATCCTCGATTGTTGTAGTTGTGGTAAGTAGTGGGGACTTCAAGGTCAGGAGCGGATCCTCGACTGTTGTAGGTGTGGTAAGTAGTGGGGACTTCAGGGTCAGGAGCGGATCCTCGATTGTTGTAGTTGTGGTAAGTAGTGGGGACTTCAGGGTCAGGAGCGGATCCTCGATTGTTGTAGTTGTGGTAAGTAGTGGGGACTTCAAGGTCAGGAGCGGATCCTCGACTGTTGTAGGTGTGGTAAGTAGTGGGGACTTCAGGGTCAGGAGCGGATCCTCGACTGTTGGTAGTTGTGGTAAGTAGTGGGGACTTCAGGGTCAGGAGCGGATCCTCGACTGTTGTATTTGTGGTAAGTAGTGGGGACTTCAGGGTCAGGAGCGGATCCTTGACTGTTGTAATAGTGGTAAGTATATAGTAATATATGGTGCTTCAGACATCTCTCTATACACAAAAACTTCAGTGACAAATCTAGAGTTTTGAAAAGTTTACCATTTTGTGATTACTTGAGCAGTAGAAAAAACTTGCATGCTCTGTACCCTTTTATATCTGATTGGGCAATTCAACCCTGACAATCTTGGTGAAAGGAACACATGCTATCCAATGTATTACCCAACCAATGTATAGAATCAAAAGAATTCTTCCATAATATTTCAGAAGTCAATATCTAATTAACTTGTTTCAATAAAAAAAAATCTAATTGATTTGCACAAACATGAAATTAAAAAAACAATAAGAAAAAACATGAAGGTTATATTTCACCAATGTGTTCTGAGACATGCTTAAATTTTATGGGAAAATGTAATGTGAAAAATAACACTCCAAAGCAAAGTATGACTTGTTGGTGATTGTATTTTAATAAGTTGTTTTGTGTGTCATCCTTTAGGAGTGGGAACTCCAAACCCATTTGACCAGATGAAGGCTGCGGCTATATTAGGCGGGCCATCCGCCACTATCCGCCCTACACCACCAGCCCACTCCATGTACCTGACGTCCGGCATTGGACACTATATTGGATTCTTCTATGCTGTTGAGGTCAGTTTCTCCACATCTGTACGCTGTACGTATGTAGAAGTCAAATTCTTATCACTTACTCATATTTTCCTGTTATCCAGATAAAAAACATTAGATGATTCATGATGTTCTGGTGTATTGTGGACAGATCATTGAATGGCTTTAATTAACTCTCAGTTTATTTTTACTTCAGGGGAGTGCCCAGCCTATACTGTCAAAAGTAATTAACTCTCAGTTTATTTTTACTTCAGGGGAGTGCCCAGCCTATACTGTCAGAAGTAATTAACTCTCAGTCTATTTTTACTTCAGGGCAGTGCCCAGCCTATACTGTCAGAAGTAATTAACTCTCAGTTTATTTTTACTCCAGGGCAGTGCCCAGCCTATACTGTCAGAAGTGGCATTTGCTGTCGCCCATAAACTCAAGTCTGCTATCATGTCTGCTGCAAGGTAGGATTAAATTTTTTATAGAACTTGATTTTGACCTTGATAGTATGGTAACTATGAGATAAATAAGTGTTCACAATGCTTCATTTAGCATATGTATGTAGTTCATTATCTTTTACATCAACAGCTGCTCCCTTCTGTATAAATGCTGGTGTAATATTGCTAAACTAAACCACCAGACTGAAGAGGAAAAGGTATTAATGAAGTTGATACAACTAATGACAACTTTCGTTGGGAAAGATGATAATACATGAAAACAAACTATTTAAAAGAAAATGTAGGCTTTATTTTTTTATTTTTTTTCAGTATTTACTCTTATAACAAAACAATGTAATTGATTCCAACAATAAACATTACTGTAACTTTCATAAACACATTTGTAAATTAAGGTTTAAGTTCTGATGATGGGTATTTTTATTAGAAGTAAGTTCTGTATTCACAGTTTCCAGTGATTTGTTTGTGGTTTGCAGTGGCTGGTTAGGATTCGGCAGTAAACAAAGAGATGATGACAGACAGAAACCAAAGATAGAGCCAGAAACTCCTTTGTCACTCAGGTAAACTTCCCACAGAAACCAAAGATAGAACCAGAAACACCTTTGTCACTCGGGTAAACTTCCCAAGGAAACCAAAGATAGAACTAGAAACTCCATTGTTACTCAGGTAAACTTCCCACAGAAACCAAAGATAAAGCCAGAAACTCCTTTGTCACTCAGGTAAACTTCCAACAGAAACCAAAGATAGAACTAGAAACTCCATTGTCACTCGGAAAAACTTCCCACAGAAACCAAAGATGGAGCCAGAAACTCCTCTAATTTGTCACTCAGGTAAACTTCCCACAGAAACCAAAGATAGAACCAGAAACTCCTTTGTCACTCAGGTAAACTTCCCACAGAAACCAAAGATAGAGCCAGAAACTCCTTTGTCACTCAGGTAAACTTCCCACAGAAACCAAAGATAGAACCAGAAACTCCTTTGTCACTCAGGTAAACTTCCCACAGAAACCAAAGATAGAGCCAGAAACTCCTTTGTCACTCAGGTAAACTTCCCACAGAAACCAAAGATAGAACCAGAAACTCCTTTGTCACTCAGGTAAACTTCCCACAGAAACCAAAGATAGAGCCAGAAACTCCTTTGTCACTCAGGTAAACTTCCCACAGAAACCAAAGATAGAGCCAGAAACTCTATTGTCACTCAGGTAAACTTCTCACAGAAACCAAAGATAGAGCCAGAAACTCCTTTGTCACTCAGGTAAACTTCCCACAGAAACCAAAGATAGAGCCAGAAGCACCTTTGTCACACAGATAAACTTCCCACAGAAACCTAAGATAGAACCAGAAACTCCTTTGTCACACAGGTAAACTTCCCACAGAAACCAAAGATAGAACCAGAAACTCCTTTGTCACTTGGGTAAACTTCCCACAGAAACCAAAGATAGAGCCTGAAACTCCTTTGTCACTTGGGTAAACTTCCCACAGAAACCAAAGATAGAGCTAGAAACTCTTTTGTCACTCAGATAAACTTCCCACAGTGAACACTTGAAAGCTTCAGACATTGTAGACTTGGTAATCCTCTCAAATTGGAGGTTGGAGATTTCTCTGTTACACCCTGATGGTACAGGATGATTATTTTTTCTCCTGTCATATTTTTTCAGTTGACACTTTACTGACAATAGTCTGGCATGTTTGATTAGTAATCAACCTCTCCAATCAACAGGTTTCGAGGTTCTTATATACCGCTTTATCACAATCTCATTTGTAGGTTGTTCACAAATTATTATCCGTGGATATAGGGGCTTTGCAACCAGCCAATATCTTTCTCAACTCCCTGAGGATCATACAGCCAGTGCTGCCATTTCGGCGCTCACAGCTAGCAATCAACAGTTCTAGCACTGCCCAACCACATACTCATTTACTTCTGAGTAGACTGGAACAAGCAGAGTAAAGTATCTTGATCAGAGATACAACACAGTGCCGTGCCGTTACTCAAACCTGCAACCCTTCGGTCACGTGTCCGACGCCCTACCACTAGACTACGTGCCTCCAATGCTATCTATCATACACTATAGATTGAGAGAGAAATCTTGAACACATGAAACAGGAGTTAATTGAATGGAAGATGGGAGAATTGGTAATCTTTTCATGAACACAGTGTAGTCTTAGTAGCCGGTAATTAGCTTCACACAGAGTGGACTTGGAAAGTTAGGTTTTTCGAAATTAACTTGGTTCGATCCCATTGATTCTGAGAGATCAAAGATTCACATTTTACATTTGGAGGGCAAAATTCCTGTCCACATTTTCTTCTTCTGTGTAGAAGGCAACCATCAAAGTAATCAGAATTATTACACAATATTTTACTTGTGATCTGAAATTATTTGCTTCCTTTTGACATGAACTTTGTACATGTGTGTTACTTGTGGGTTGTGACCACAGGTACGGACTCCCTGACAAGAGACGGCAAGGTGACAATATATTTCTATCACCCAATAACAACTATGCCGCCACTACAGACAGCTTTGGTCGGGTAACCCTCATCGACGTGGAGAACGGCATAGCGGTCAGGATGTGGAAAGGTGAGGCTAGGTTGTTATTATTGAACTTGTTCCTGAACATTACTAGAATTTATTCTGAAAGTATGTAATATAGCTCTACAGCATAAAACATTGTTAATTGAGCTTCAAACAGATTTTGTCATATATTTGTACATACCTGTGTATACCTGTATTTGTGTTGCTTTACTGGTTATTGACAGCTGTATTCTTTCACATCGTTTCCTAGGTTACAGAGATGCACAGCTTGGCTGGATTCAAGTGAGAGAAGACAATCTCCATGGTAACCATGACCAGGAGCTTGCAAGAGTGGCTCAGTTCCTCATTTTCTACGCTCCAAGGAGGGGAATTTTAGAGGTAGGCAAAGAACTTTCCTTCTGTAACTATACACACTTTTAAAGAGGGGTTCTTACACAGGTAAAGACTAGGGTTACATTTGCGTGTCCCGGTTGAAACTGTTCAGGTGGTGGCAAAATATTCCATGATAAACGAACGTACTCATTTTCTTTCTAGGTTCAACCGTTTCAACTGGTTGAACTGGATACGTGAAACGGGCCCAGAGTAGTCAGCTAAACACTAATCAGCTATGTAGCAAATCATGTTAAGTTTGAGAACCAAACTAATTGATTGCCATATGGCAATAGCTAGATACATGTTTTATTAGGGCCCGCATCTAAGATGCGGGTGCCTTATAGTAATCAGGTTGTCGTCCGTCCGTCGGTCTGTCTGTCCATTTTTCTTCTTTTGCACAATATTGATGGAAGTAATAGGAGTATGTTTTTAAAAAATCTCATCATGATTTCCCATGCATGGTAATTTTTTGTGCAGATCGGATTCAAAATGGCTGCTAATAAGCCATCTTGGATTTTAACATTAAAAAATTCAATTTGTTTTGCTCTTAACTGGTAAACATTTTGTTATGACATTATGAAGCAAAGTTGAACACAATACAACAAGAAGTCAACTGATCGAAGGTCAAGGTCATCGGATCAAAGGTCAGGGTCAGTTTTTGTATCTTTTTACTGGTTAATATTTTGTTATGACATTATGAAGCAAAGTTGGTCAGAATCAAACAAGGTTTCAATTGCTCAATGATTAAGGTTATTAGGGCCCCCTATCAGAGCTGATAACTTTGGTATTTATTGACCGATTTACATGAAACTTGGTCAAGATGTTCAGTTCATTAAAATACACACTTAAGTAAAAAGTCAAGGTCATTAGGTTCTAATGTCCATGTCAAATTTTGCATCTTTTCACTGATGGACATTTTGTTATGACATGATGAAGCAAAGTTGATCAGAATTAAACAAGGAGTCAACTGACCAAAGGTCAAGGTCATCCAGTCAGAGGTCAGGTCAAAGGTCAAGGTCAAATTTTGTAGCTTTTCACTAACGAGCATTTTATGACATTATGAAGCAAAGATGGTCATAATTAAACAAAGAGACACACTGAGGTAAAAAGTCGAGGTCAAAGGTCAAGGTCATTAGGTTCAAAGGTACAAATCAAATTTTGCATCTTTTTCACTGATGAATATTTGGTTATGACATGATGAAGCAAAGTTGATCAGAATTTAACAAGGAGTCAACTGACCAAAGGCCAAGGTCATTGGGTCAAAGGTAAAGGTTAAATTTTGTAACTTTTCACTGGTGAACATTTCGTTATGACACTTTGAAGCAAAGTTGCTCAGAACTAAACAAGGAATCAATTGACCAAAGGTCAAGGTCACTTAGTCAAAGGTGAAGGTTAAATTTTGTATCTTTTCCTTGATGAACATTTTGTTATGACATAATGAAGCAAAAGTTAGTCTGAATTTAACAAAGAGTCAACTGACTTCAGGTCAAGGTCACTGGGTCAATGTCAAGGTCAAATATTGTATCTTTTTACTGATGAACATTTTGTTATGTTTTTATGAAGCAAAGTTGGTCGGAATTAAACTGACCAAAGATCAGGGTCACTGGGTTAAAGGTCAAGATAATTTGGGTCCAAAGTTCAAAGACAAAGTGAATCTCTGACTTTGACACTTGCTCTTGATGGAGGAGGTAATGAAGGCGAAATAAAACAAATCAAAGCTAACAAATGAGTATTGCACCGGTATTTACTTTTCTGTTAGCCCAGCAAATATGGAGGTGGAAGGAAACAAGACTCACATCCATCATAGTACATGTAAAATGTATATTTTGCTTCCTTGCAATTCTTTTTGAAGTCAAACGTCAAGCTCAGCTATATGGGCAGATTGCTTCTTGATGATTATGGGGGATATATTGCCACAGGACGGGGCCCTTACTGACCTGTCAGTGTTCTAGTATTTCCGCTATAAATATATAAATAACAGGGCAAAATGAAACATATTATCATTAGTATTATCATTGAGTCTATGTTCAGTACAAATAGTGTAAACATAGTTTTGACTGGGTCAGGCTTTTACAGTTTTGTTAGTTCACCAGCCCCAGGGTGATGATATCTTGCCAGTAGTATGCTGGAAAGAAGGGCTACCAAGTTTGTTCAAATGAATGACCTTGACCCATGTTTAAAGGACACTGGAGTCAAATGTTAAAAAAATCTTCAAACAATTTTTCTGAATAACCAAAAGGCCCAAGGAGATAAAATTTACCATTAGTTTACTCAGATGTATGGCTACCAAGTTTGTTCAAATGAATGACCTTGACCCTCTTTCAAGGTCGCTGAGGTCGAATATGTCTAAATATGTTTGTATTACAATGATCTACTTCATGTATCAATAGGTGTGGACTGCTGCCAATGGTCCCCGAGTGGCAGCCTTTAATGTCAACAAATGGTGTCGTCTTGTCTGTCCGAGCTATGGCATTATGGGACTAAATAACGTCACCTGTCGTGGTGTCAAAACGAAGGTGTTCCAATGTGCTCTCATAGAACCAACAGGAATCATTAAAACCCTAGATATACCCTTCCACCTGGCACTCAGGTAAATAACTTAATGGGTAAATCACTTAATGGTCAAATCACTTAATGGTTAAATCACTTAATGGGTAAATCACTTAATTGTCAAACCACTTAATGGTTAAATCACTTAATGGGTAAATCACTTAATTGTCAAATCATTTCATGGTTAAATCACTTAATGGTAAATCACTTAATGGGTAAAATACTTAATGGGTAAATCACTTAATGGGATATCCTCATCAATACACATTCCACTGTAGTTATTATACTTGTATCTTATTTCAGTATTTGATTTGATTTTTTTAAAGAATCTCGTTGGGAAAAAAGATGTATCTGTATCTGTAATTTTCTTGGTTTCAATTGAGATTCAGTGAAAGCATTATAGGATTTTTGTCTGCCTTGATTTTTTTCCACAGAATTTTGATATATTAATTTATTTGAAGAATCTAATACAACCAGGGACGTATTCATAAAACTGTTCTCATGCTCAAGCATGGATTCTGTGCTCAAAACAGCTTTCTTGTAACTCACTTATGTAAAACAATAAAAAATGGAGATTGTTGTTATCAATTTATAACTGAAACAAGAAATCAGGCTTGAGCACAAAATCCATGCTTGAGCATGAGAACAGTCTCATGAATACGGGCCCAGACTGCTGGACAACTGAACTGAAAATGTAAAGACAACTAATCAGACAGACAGCTTTGCATTAATTATATATCAAACCCCCACCTGTAATAGATACACTAATACATATTTATTTTGTACTATCTTTATTCAGTGACAAGAACAGTAAGAGAGCAAGGGATGTCCACCTACTGAAGAAACTGAAGACCGTGATGAAGGATACATCAGAGGAGACGGGTAAGTAGACACTAATACTAGAGTGCACATTTTACAAACACCTCATACTTCTTCACTGTTATTACTTAATATTAATAAACTTTATGTAATGAGGATAAAATATATGTTTAGCTAAAGAAAACGGTAATCTTTCGCATGGTCCTCTTATTAGTAAGATACCTGTGTTATTTAAAAGATAAATATAACTTATTTACATAAACCATTTGTTTTAAGATAACATCACATTTCTCTTCATTAAAATTATCACAGCATGCATAAAGTTTCATGCAAAAGTGTTTTGTCAGTTAAACGACATTTGCCTGATATACATACATGCTAATATATACAATATTTACAATATAAAATGGTTTACAGTTATATGCTAATATAGCATAATCTAAAAAATATATTGAGGTAGGTTCAGATAAGAATATACCAGTTAGGGTTACAAAGAAAAAAACACGATATTTCTAAGACAGTGATACTGATTACTTATTGGTGTTTAATTCATTTTATTACAGAATCTCTAGAAAACGCTGTGAAGAATTTGTTAAAAGACATGAAGATAGCCAGTATCAAACAGCAGGTAGGAATCACAAAATAGTTCAGTTCTAAGCTCCAAGAACATATTTTATTCCCAATCTTGACTGATTTGTCTCCTGTTTGATCTGGGTGGAAACAAGTTACCTACATGTTCATGTTTGATTTATCTCAGGGTAAGCTTCTTGAATGTAAATCCCTTGACAAGGCTTTGGGGTGGTATACCAATTAATTTTACCCATCAGGTAGAGATATGTCTTATCCTTAAGGTAGGGAAAGTATGAATGATTGTTTATTTTTCAAAAATTGGGAGATTTGTTCTCACATCTGTTATTGTGGACCTTTGTGGTGAGTTTTTCCTGATAAAGACCTGGGTTTTTCACAGAATATTCAGAGATTTACAAGACCTCTTGTCCGTAAAAAATATTTTATCATAACTTTATCATTTTACTAATGAGCTACTTGATCTACAAAGTTCAGTAAATTATATGTATAATATTGCTTATAGAACTTTATTGAAAGCGAGTTTATTAAGAAATAAGTCTCTCAAAATTATATTATACTATACATGAAATTTTAACCCCTCGCATCCTTAAACTATGTGATCTCTGAAGCTGTTAGCTAGCTTGCTGTATCTTTTTTAATATGACCATTATATGCAAAGGTATCATAAGTAAGGTTATAAATACTTCCTGAATTTTGCTTGGCTGATGATTTCCAGAGAGTTACTCTGTAAAAAGTATTTTAGTAAAGAGACATTTTTGACCTCAACGCTATGATTTCTACAGGGAATGGACAGAGTGTTAGGGGCTAAGTACTTATCAGCTTCCTGTATGCAGAGAATCTTGAAGACGTGTTTGGAGCAGGTTACTAGTAAGGGTGAGTGTGGAATGAAGGTCACTTCATATATCTATACATCTGTATGTTAATGTTCAAAGTTATAGAACTGTGATGTAACATAACACAGAGTGAACATTTATACTAACTTGTATTACTTGTACAGTCAAATTCACCCTCTGCCCTTTTAAAACCGATTTGTCTTGTGCAGAATTTGGCCATGTATATTTCATGTGTTATATGTTTTATTCAAGGTTGACAATGAAATGTTGCAAATTTTTAATTAGGGAAAGTATACTGAGTGTCAATAAATTGTGTCTCATCTGAAAATGATAAAGATTGAAATTGATGTTATTGATGGACATAATGTGAAGCATATTTGTATGGTTAAGATGAGGATACCTGGGACATTGATACAAAGCTGTTTGTGCGATACTGTCATCTCCATGACAACCTTCTGAAGATTTACGATGAGGTGAACACCATCAACCAGACAACAGCCAAAACAACATCAGCAGCGGACCTTACAGAGGTACTCACTCTTTATAAGCTGCACTCAAATTTGTTATTTTAATTTGTAGGTTTTTCAACACTTTTGTGGTTTTGAACATTTGATTCCTTGAGATGTTAGTACCATACAATATTACCAGATTAGAATGTTAAAAATCATTTTATTTCCAACTATGTATTATTGAAAGTTATGCATGCTTACTTCAATGCTTCAAATGAAAATAACAGATTTCAAAAATTCTTGATATCATGATCAACTTTACTCCTGAACTAGGGCAAAAATGTGAAGAGTGAAGTATAGTTGCATAAACAAACTTTACTAGATTGTAAATAAAATGTACTATAATTGATCATTGAAATGGACTTAGATGTACAATTTAAGCATTGAACTGGGCTGTTTTTAGTGCACATTTTTTTTCTATGTTTTCAACTTCATTGAAAGATATTCTATATATGAACATGTTTAATCATTGGAGTACTTTTTGGTGACCTATTTCTCTTGGTTACTTGTAACTCAGGAGCTGATGCAGACGTTCCGCCTGAGTGAGTCAGAAGCTGCCCACATCATCACCCAGCTGGAACAGTACGATATACAGGTCGGTGGTAAACGGACAGAGAGTCGGCGAGTTAAGTTTGATGTGGAGAGTAAGTTGAGTCCAGCTTCCTTCATCAGCTGTTTCCACTGCCATCTACATTGTACTGACGACCAAGAATCTAGTCAACAGGGATCAGTCACCATAGCAACAAGACTTAGTGACGAGAAACGGTCCAATCTAGGTAAATTCTACTGGATATCAATGTTAACTAGTACATCAGAATACAGAATGCTTATATTTCAACCTGACTGCATGTACAGTCACACTAAACTAGCCGGGGTTTAAATATCGGAACATAAAGACTTTTCCATTAAGAATTCAGTTGATGATTATACTTTAAAGAGACATTTGTTAAAGCAGTATGTACACGTTCAAATTGTTTGAATAAAACCTTTTCCCAGATCTGAAACTGCACCCTTGTGTTTGTCAAAAAGTCTATTAAACTGGATGTATCAATAATTTTCTTTTACAATACATGTAGTATTTCTCCTCAGGAAATAAGTCATAACAAAATGTAATACTCCCTTCTAATAACTTTGGAAAATTGTCTGTTGTTGAAGTTAGGGGATACCATGCTGTATTTGTATGGGGCATCACCTGCATTGGGGTTTAAATGATAAAATAGGTCTGTATGTACACAGAACCAAGACGAGCTACAGTGTGAAAGCTTGTTCATTGTTATGAAACTGGTAAACGTTTTTCTTGTGTTTTTATTTTCAGCCAATTTCTTTTTCCAAAGTATACAAAAAGAAACAACTTGTCCGAGTGAACTGAGCACTATACTGCAAGAAAGCAAGTTATCACCTCAACTTTTCATGGTAAGATGGTTGCCTCTCAAACTTCTCATACAAAGATTTACAAAAGATTTCTTTGGTGTCAATATCTCATGGTAAGGACTTCGTTTGTCTCTTCAGCTTCTCATGATATCAATTTTTTTGGTCTGTCAATCTTCTCATACCAAGATCTGGGGCAGACCTGGGATAGACTTTGTCTCCAACACTTTTATGTTAAGGACTGCATTGTCTGCTGAACTTCTCAAGACAAGAACTTTGTTACTAAAACTTCTCAATGTAAGGAATTTACCATGGCAGGAAATAATACACAGACATGTACAGAAGACTGGATTTTAGTTGGAAAACATTTTCAATGTTACTTTCTTAATAAAATAATAACTTTTCTGCCTCACCTAACATAGCATCCACTTCCATTACCCCTAATTAAAACTAATACTAACTTGTTTTATTCTGTGTTATACAGAAGCTACTTGTGATGTTCTGGCTATCAGACGACAACAGGAAACTGACCATGACATTAAATTTACACCACGCCGTTAAGAGTTTAACATCTCTAATAGGTAAGTTGCTTTACCCCATAATTTAAAAAGTTTGTTTTCCAAACATTTAGTTGTTTGTATTTACATATCCTGTATTGCTTTACAGGCAGTAAATCTCCTATGGCCAGACTCAGTCATTAGATGTGTGATAGAAATAGTAAACCCCAATTCACAAAGTTCCTATGAAATAGCAGTTTTATGAAGCAAGCTTTGATAAACTCCCACAACATCATATGGAATGAGAACAAGTGTAAGACATTTGTTACCAATGCTTTACAAAATTATTTTATCTGTCAAATTTATATATACAATTTTAGCTATTGCTATAAATAAGCCTGTGATATGTGTCTATACTTCAGATAAGAACACACTGATAGTAGAACCAGGAGAGGTTTCTTCCTGGTGGCTCAATATACGGGAGGCATGTCACCATAGTAATTTCATACAGGCGGCCTACATCCTGGCACTTGTGTGTAGATCGGTGGCAAATGAGGTCATAGACAGTCAGCTGGAGTCAAAGGTCAGTGTATGGTCAGATTTACTGTAGTTAGGTCGTGGGTTAGTTAAAATAGCATGTGTTGACCATGTGGTAGTAGCAGACAGCAGATCTTGTCATACACTTGAAATGTATCCAGATATTATATATACTGGTAAAAGCAATTTGGGATGAATTTTTAAAAAGTTTTTAATATTATTGAAAATTTTGATTGAAACACTGTAATATTTGGAAAGAATAAATGTGGTTAAGTTGATGTACAGATCCAGTCCATCACATAGAAGTTATAAATTTTACAAACTGATTCATTAGCTATTTTATAATTGATCCAAATTCATTGTCACTAGGATCCTGATGCTGACATAGAGAGTCGAGATCAGGTCCCTGTCCAGCCCCAAGGGGAGCCTCCTCAGCCAACAGTGGTAGAGGATAGTGAACAGTGGAACACCAGTGTTAAAAAACTTGAAGATGTCCTATGTCTCAGCTGTCTGCTCCATATTACTCAGTCAGAGGTCAAGGGTCAAGCAGTACCAGACCCAATCATAGTCTCTGTTACAAAGCTTATGGAGGGAGGCAGAGGTAAGTAATTATATTGTATAGTTTCTAGCTCTTGTTTGTGTGATCACAGTGTCGTGTGGGGTCATTGATCTATAAACTGTTTACTACAGGTGCTGTATCAGAGCTGGTTGGATGCTATGTGACACAGTCCAGCCTCCACCCAAGTGAACTGTTTCTTCCTTGTCATATGTCGGAGAGCACAGAATTTCATGGAGAGGCCATGGAAGTCACAGAGACTACCTTCCAGACATTTATAGAAAGAGTTCAAGGTATGTAAAAAAACTGTTGTTGTCATAACTGACCTCCAGTTAAATTGAAAATAATGATGTTACCATAGCTATGACCTTGGATCGAGTCAAATGTAATTGGCATTGCATTTGCTATGACCTTGGGTTGAGTATAATGTCATTGTCATTGCTGTGGCTATGACCTTGGGTTAAGTATAATGTAATTGTAGTTACCATAGCAATGACCTTGGGTTGAGTATAATGTAATTGTAGTTACCATAGCTATGACCTTGGACTGAGTCGTATGTAATTGGCATTGCATTTGCTGTGACCTTGGGTTGAGTATAATGTCATTGTCATTACCATGGCTATGACCTTAGGTTGAGTATAATGTCATTGTAGTTACCATAACTATGACCTTGGGTTGAGTATAATATCATTGTAATTACCATGGCCATGACCTTGGGTTGAGTATGATATCATTGTCATCACTATGGCTATGACCTTGGGTTGAGTATAATATCATTGTCATTACCATGGCTATGACCTTGGGTTGAGTATGATATCATTGTCATCACCATGGCTATGACCTTGGGTTGAGTATAATATCATTGTCATAACCATGGCTATGACCTTGGGTTGAGTACAATGTCATTGTAGTTACCATAACTATGACCTTGGGTTGAGTATAATATCATTGTAATTACCATGGCTATGACCTTAGATTGAGTATACTATCATTGTCATTACCATAACTATGACCTTTGGTTGAGTATAATATCATTGTAATTACCATGGCTATGACCTTAGATTGAGTATACTATCATTGTCATTACCATAACTATGACCTTGTGTTGAGTATAATATCATTGTCATAACCATGGCTATGACCTTGGGTTGAGTACAATGTCATTGTAGTTACCATAACTATGACCTTAGGTTGAGTATAATGTCATTGTAGTTACCATAACTATGACCTTAGGTTGAGTATAATGTCATTGTCATAACCATGGCTATGACCTTGGGTTGAGTATGATATCATTGTCATCACCATGGCTATGACCTTGGGTTGAGTATAATATTATTGTCATAACCATGGCTATGACCTTGGGTTGAGTACAATGTCATTATAGTTACCATAACTATGACCTTGGGTTGAGTATAATGTCATTGTCATAACCATGGCTATGACCTTGGGTTGAGTACAATGTCATTGTAGTTACCATAACTATGACCTTGGGTTGAGTATAATATCATTGTAATTACCATGGCCATGACCTTGGGTTGAGTATATGATCATTGTCATTACCATAACTATGACCTTGGGTTGAGTATAATGTCATTGTCATAACCATGGCTATGACCTTGGGTTGAGTACAATGTCATTGTAGTTACCATAACTATGACCTTGGGTTGAGTATAATGTCCTTGTCATTACCATAGCTATGGCCTTGTTTGAGTTAATATTATTTTAATAACCGTGACTATAATAGTAATTAAAATGTAGTTACCATGGCTATGAACTTTGTCATTACTGTGGTTATGGGATTTATTAAAATGTAGTTACCATGGCTATGGCATGTAACTAATGGTGTTACCATGGTTTTGACCTGAAGGTCAGATGGAGGTACTGAAACAGCGGCTGCCCCACAGTATGGAGGTAGATGTACTTCTGGCCAACTGCTGCTGGGAGAATGTTGTCCAGTGGAACAAAGATACAAAGGTCAGGACACTCGCTATGATTTCTGAATTAAATATCTAAAATATCTTTGATATTGAAGTTGTGGCTAATGAGGTAATTTCTTTGTGATTTAATTGATCAAAGATACCTATGTTGTATATTTTGTCACTCAATTTTTCAAATTGCTTAATCATTGTTTTTTCTTGCAGTGTATGAAAAACTTAGAGTCTTCCCTAGAATTTCTACGTTTGATACAGAATGCTATCCTAAGACAAGGTAAACTTTATTGAATACTGAACCTCGGGAAACTCTAGATATTTGTTTTGTTTAAGCAGAGATTGCTGAACACCAAACTCAAACAATAAAGGGGTTAGATGAACATAACCTCCTCCATTTTATTATGCTAATGAATCTGTTTCTAAAATGACAAAAAAATAAATTCAAAAACTAGCAGACAATAATTATAATGTGATTATGCATTTCCGCACATATAATGAAATAAGGATGTGACTGATACTGATGAAAAAATGATAGGCCATGTTTTTAAATAAAACTTTAATGGTCATACAATATATTATAATATGAATTGAAGTTGTGAGCTGTGTAGAGTAGGTATTGTAGAACTGATAGTGGACTATTGTGTGTTATACAGGTGTGGGTAGTCTACTGTGGCACATGTTCATAGCTAAGACATTTTCTGCTGCTGCTCATCTCATGGAAAAGGTAACAATTGTACATCCATCTTTAATAGGTAGAAGATAAATCAGTAGATATACGCCTGTCAGTGAGGTTAGGGAAGTAGCTTGTCTATCTGTCTGTCCTACAGTGAAAAGTGTTCTGCATAACCCTCCCGGACCAATAAGTCAATTTCAGCACTTAATGTGTATGATTGGTACACATGTAGTTATACACCTTAACATTAATATTACATAAATATTTATGTAAGTCCTTTCCAGACAAATTATCTGATCAATTACAAAGAAGTTTTGTGGGATCGATACATTAGAAATATAAAAAAAAAAGTGCTGGGATAGTTAAGAAGACATTAATTTTGTAACAGTTCCTGTTACAGTTAGATCTGCTTGTGTCTAGACTACTGCTGATAATAACATCAACAGCTTGTCTTAAATTTCATACTCTTTATCATCACTTAATTTTAGTAGTATATATTTCAATTTATTTTAATTGTGACCATTCATTTCATGGTAGAGTAGGGGCTATCAGCTTACACTAATAGTTTATGAACAGTACAGGGTTTATGTAGAAGTTAAAGTATGTTTTACTTTGATTGTGATCACATTTTATGTTAAAAGAAAACATATTTGATTTCATTCAATTTGTAGGTTGGAAAAGTACCAAAAGACAGATTATGTAGAAAGGTAAGAATCAGTTGCAATGGAGCTAATTTAAATATTTAATTAATCAACATTTGATGAATGTTATGTTTTAAAACTGTTATAATATCCCTTATTTCAATTTCAAAATCAGAGAGGCCTGCCTGATTTTCATTCTCATAACTTAGCATGTGAGATATGTATATCAATTTAGAAATATGGTCTATGGTTATGGACTAAAAACAAAATCATTGGTTTAAATGCTATTTGTTTTGTCAGGAGGTTGGACTGACAGAGGGAAGCATGGCTGGCTTTGTGGGCAGTGTATGTGACCTTCTGGATATCATAATGGAGGTAAGTCAGTATTACCCACCTAGATTCCTGTCTCATCTGTAAGATGTGTCAGTAAGTTGTATGTCCAAATACATTCCTGCCTCATCTATAAGATATGTTTGTAAGATACAATGTCCTACTTCAGTCTTGTCTCATCTATAAGATATGTTTGTAAGATACAATGTCCTACTTCAGTCTTGTCGCATCTATAAGATATGTTTGTAAGATACAATGTCCTACTTCAGTCTTGTCGCATCTATAAGATATGTTTGTAAGATACAATGTCTAGCTACAGTCCTGTCTCATCTGCAAGATATGTTTGTAAGATACAATGTCTAACTACAGTTCCGTCTCATCTGTAAGATATGTTTGTAAGATACAAGGTCTTACTTCAGTCTTGTCTCATCTATAAGATATGTTTGTAAGAAACAATGTCTTACTACAGTCCTGTCTCATCTGTAAGATATGTGCGTAAGATACAAGGTCTTACTACATTCCTGTCTCATCTGTAAGATGTGTTTGTAAGATACAAGGTCCTACTACAGTCCTGCCTCATCTATAAGATATGTTTGTAAGAAACAATGTCTTACTACAGTCCTGTCTCATCTGTAAGATATGTTTGTAAGATACAAGGTCTTACTACATTCCTGTCTCATCTATAAGATGTGTTTATCATTTTGTATGTCTTGATGCATTCTTGGTTTATTTTCTGACTTATTTCCTATTTTTTCATAGTAAACTTACTGACTATTCAGAAAGACACATAGAAATAAGAACCAGAACAGATCTTCAATGTTTAAATGTGCAATCAATTTTCCTGGTGCAATGTTTGACGTGCCATTGACAATGACTTCTGTCACTTCACTTACTTTATCCTTGAAACCCCAGGGCTATGTTAACTTATGTTCTCCGAACCTGAAATATAGTCATGACGAAATTAAAGGCTTGGCGCTCATCACATTGAAGATGATACAGGAAGATTAGTTTGATCCTTTGGTGTACATCAAAAGATCCCACGAAAGTGTAATGGTAAATTTGAATTTCTTTAATCTTCAAAGGACAGGTATCAGCGTTATGATTGGTCAGGGTTTTTTTCACCCAAAACCAATCCAATGGCTCTTGTGCTTTTGATTTTGCCATGACATATTCCAGGGGTGTAGAGAACAAGTAAATTTTCCCCATTCATATATTACATAGATTACTTACATGTACAAGGTCAAGGTCACTAGGTTTTGGAGAGACATTACTTCATACACATGTACCATGGTTTAACAGATAGTGCTCCATGCATATGTTTTGAGCATGGTTTTGAGTCCTCATCCAAAAGTCCAGGTAACAGTAATGTTAAATAGCCTTTAGATCACTTCGGTCTTCAGTGTCTACAAATGAGGTATGTCTTTCTCGGGTAACTTTTACAAGTTCACAGTAATGTTAAATAGCCTTTAGATCACTTCGCTCTACAGTGTCTACAATGAGGTATGTCTAATTTCTCGGGTAACTTTTACAAGTTCATAATAAGTTGGTGTAAGGTTCAACGTAAAACTGGAATATTTACACAGTTATTGGTATCTCAGGTTAATCTTATTGTCCTTGTATACAGCCTTTTTCTTTTATCAATCGATATAAAATACTAGAATATGAGGATGTACACGAAAAACTGTCAGGTCCAGGAAATTCTCTCAAATTATCAAGCTGTTGAATGATTGAATTATTTCTTACGGTTAAAAAGAGAAATCCGTTCATCTGAGCTGAACCCTTATAGACAGCATTAACATACAACAATGACATATTTGGTGATTTCAGTCATGTTCCACACCAGACTTTGGGGTACAGTATACGTGTGATGTGTCTCGTCTCAGACATTAAGTGTTTGGTTCCTGTGTTAAATGCATGTTGTTGCTGGCATGGTCTCACTTTTATACCCGCAGGATCCTATATAGAGATTATCATCATTAATCTTAAAGACTTTCCAATGTCAAATTGAGCCAAGTAAGAAAATCTTAGGTGTCCGTTTCTGATATATTATGTGATACTTAGGGTGAGGAAGTGAAGAAATAGATGGTAGCCTTTTGGAATAATCTCCTTAAAATCAAGTAAAACAAATACATTTTGATTTCACAAAAATCAGCATTATAAGTAGTAAGTTGAAGACTTTATGGGTACATTGATTAAGTTTCCAGGGAATTAACCTAAACTAAATATACAATGTACATGATTTTAGGCAAGTAGATCAAATTCATTTATATTTGTCATAAATCAAACGTTACTTATACATAGATTTTATTCTGACAAAATTAGGATTTTACAAACCTTTGACAGTCAGGCTCAGCTCTGAAATTTAAAAAAAAACATGTTTAAAAACTTATGACATTTAGAGCCTGTTTTTCTTTAAAACAGTTATTCTGTGCTTGGTTTTGCCAATGTTTATCTTATCTATATTCAAATTGTTTAGCTGTGCTTGAATTCACAGCATAAGACGGAAGAGTGTTCCATAAATCAACAGTTCTCTGTGTAAATGAAAATTTTCTACTATTCGATCTTTAATGTGATGTGTAAAATTTAAGTTGTGTTGACGTGTAGATGAATCTTCTCTGGTTTTAAACCCTTATGACAAGATATTCCTATAAGTTGAGCCCTAGCCTAGAGTAAGTTATCATATATAGACTAGCCTGGGTATAGAAGGAAAACAGTTATTGAATATCCTCCCACTAAGCAAGTTAATGCTTTATACTTAACGGTAATTGTTACCTAATACCACCCACCCCCACTCCATCCCAAACATAACATACACACAGAGTTAGCAAGTCAACACTTTATACTGATATATAAAGGGAGGTAAGTCACAAGTATAATGTACAATATAGGGTACACGTACAGTATATACTTCAATCAGAACTAGAGACAATGAAAATTGAATGTTTAACGAAATGCTTCACCTTTGTTGTGTGTGATGTACTGATGAAGGACACATTACAGTATATGTACGATGCCCCATTAATTACTACCAGCCTTAATAACCACACCATTCCCTTGTCTGTCCGCAAGTCTGCTTCTTATTAATACTAATTCAATATTAACATTATGAGTCAATAATTGTCAATGGAATTGTTGCTTATTCAAATTGTCACACTACAAAACAAAATCATACTAATTTCATTTCTTAATCACTTAACAATGTTTCTTATATATTTTAATCCCAGGCAGTAAATACATGTATAAGCAAATACACTGAATATACTGCGGTAAATGTGTTTATTAAGGGAAAACATTTTTAATGACCATGAGTGTTGTCTGGAAACAAAAAAACATTGCACCTTCAAGGTTGGTTTCACCATAATTTGAAACTGAAACTTTTTATTTTCATCATTAGTTCTGCTGTATGACCTTTTCACCTTGCTAGATTTCAGACCTCCTAGACTTCACAACTTATGTAACCAATAATTTTTCATATGATATCATGTTTATCCTGGGACATAAGTGAAATCAATAAGGTGTTCCTTTTATTGAAAACATTTGGCTGCAAATATTACAGATAGGATTTCAATCAAAAGACAAGTCAATTTAATTCAGGCACTCTTATTTGTTCATGGATTTTTTTTAGTTGACAATAAAAATAAACAGTGTCTCAACTGTTTTAATGAACAATGAAAATAGGCATTGTCTGTCAGACTGCATTTATTTATTCTTAGCAAAGTAATTCCTCCTTAATGAAAATAATAATTCAATATCGTCATCAAAGCCTTGGATTAGTCAGCATAAAGAGAGTTATCTCTCCCTTCCCAAGAATCCATGGCCTCTTTATCTGACTGTTGAAGTTTTGTAGTGAAAAATCATCGGCTTTTTTACCCATAGCCCTTTCAGATCCAGAAAAGCCTATGGGTTTTAAAGATATATAGAATCTTACATGAGTTTCCATTTTATGTGAGATTTCTGAAACAAGTCTTATAATTTTTCAATTTAGCAAGCCTCTCGCGAGCTAAAATGAAAAATTTATGACAAGTTGCATCAATTTCATATGAAATGAAATTGAGTGTAAGATCCTTTTTATCACATAATCAAGATTTGTGGCATTCATTCGTGTAAAACGACAATTTTCATTCATTCTTGAAATGCAAATAGCAGTCATTTTGATTCCAGTGCGTAAGCCTGTGACGTCGTGTACTTGTCCTAGGCGTGACGTCACAATTGAAACAATTGAAGCTTACAACCAATCACAAGACTGATAGGTCATATAACATGAGTTAATAAGCAAAAAATTATGACATGAGTATATTCAATGGAACACAGAACATAATGTGATAGAAATATTTTCTCTTTCTTTTTGAAATGTTGCTTTTCAAAAAGTTTGTTACATTAATTGTACATCCGCACATGGTCATGTGTGAAATTAAAATTTCCATTTGTATTACAGAGGTTTCCATTAGGTAATGGAAGTGATATTCTATTGAACACACTGTGTTGCAGAGTTCCTGTATCTATTGAACACATTATGTTGCAGCGTTCCTGTATCTATTGAACACACTGTGTTGCAGTAGTTCCTGCATCCATTGAACACACCATGTTGCAGTAGTTCCTGTATCTATTGAACACACTGTGTTGCAGTGTTCCTGTATCTATTTAACACATCATGTTGCAGCGTTCCTGTATCTATTGAACACACCGTGTTGCAGTAGTTCCTGTATCCATTGAACACACCATGTTGCAGTGTTCCTGTATCTATTTAACACATCATGTTACAGTGTTCCTGTATCTATTGAACACATCGTGTTGCAGTGTTCATGTATCTATTGAACACAGTGTTGCAGAGTTCCTGTATCTATTGAACACATCATTTTGCAATGCTCCTGTATCTATTGAACACACCGTGTTGTAGTGTTCCTGTATCTATTGAACACATCATGTTGCAGTGTTCCTGTATCTATTGAACACATCGTGTTGCAGTGTTCATTTATCTATTGAACACACCATGTTGCAGTGCTCCTGTATCTATTGAACACACCATGTTGCAGTGTTCCTGTATCTATTGAACACACCATGTTGCTGTGTTCCTGTATCTATTGAACACATCATGTTGCAGTGTTCATGTATCTATTGAACACACTGTGTTGCAGAGTTCCTGTATCTATTGAACACATCATGTTGCAGTAGTTCCTGTATCTATTGAATACATCGTGTTGCAGTGTTCCTGTATCTATTGAACACATTGTGTTGTAGTGTTCCTGTATCTATTGAACACCCCATGTTGCAGTAGTTCCTGTAACAGCTATTTCTGGACCGTTATTGTGCTTATGAGCGTTTTTAAAATAAGTCCTGTTGAATTTGGGTTACGTCTAATTATTGTGTTGCTTTGACAAATCCTAGCTGTACCTTCAATTTATACATCTTTTCCTTGTTATGTAAGTTACAATTTACACACACAATTTAGGATACCAAGATATTATTGTTTGACATGCTGTATCTCAATCATGATCTTCTGTTGTAGGCCAACTGTGAAGCTAATGAAGTTCCTGTATTTAACATAGAGCACCTCTGGCAGGACGTTAGGGGTCCCGCCTCACTTGTAGAACTGGCCATCGACCAAAAGTCAACAAACTATGGCTTACTGCGGCTACACTACCAGCTGGCGGTCATGATGCATGCCATGTTGGTCTTTGGCATGAAGTCTGTCAAAGTTTTATCATTGTTTGACTCAAAGGTCAGTTCATGTTTCTGTTTGATGGAGAAAAGATATTCAAGAAGGAATAAGATGGATTTTTGCAGATTATTTATAGGTGTTTTCAACAAAACAACAACAAAATAGGAATTGTTTACCTAGGAAATTAGGTTTAAGCCAGGAATTCAGCGAGTTTGAATAGCACTGTCTATTCAAATTATGATAGGTGTAACCTTTTGGACTTGTACACATCACTTATTGATTGACAGAAAATCTGGCAATTATCATTTCTGTGTAGTTTTGTTGTCATTATTATCACATGTATATATATCAGTATACAGTATCTATTATTGTTTTGTACATTACCACTTTGTATGTCAACTTACGGTCTAGTGTTGTCACTTGTAGGGAAAGAGCTCGCTATTTTTGGATCTGCACCAACACCCACTTCTTCCATCACAAAACATAGATGCCTTCATATCCAACAGCCGAAAAAATGTAAGTTATTTCCATTAAGAAGAAAAGTTAGTAGGGTCCAACAGGGGTAATAAGAGAGAATCTTTAAGGTAATAGGAGTGTATTGCTAAATGGAAATAGGAAGTACATCCCTAGTTGAAAATCCAATGTAGGGAGACAGTATAACAATTTCCGCATATTCTAATGTTTAATATTAAACTGATGAATATTGTATGTTTATTATTGACAGAACAGTGTGTTCTTTCAATATTAAAGTATTTAAAAGCAATCCAGGCATTAATTCAGTTGTTTTTTAATCAATGAGTCACATGTGTCCATTGTTCTGTACTTCAGGAAACCGGCTACCTATTTCACTACTGTGAAGTTTTTCAAGAACGATAACCCTTACTATGTGTATATGGTTTTATTATAAAATGTAGGAATATAGGTAAATCTTTTAAAATCTTCTTCTCAATCAATAGAAGGATTTTGACCCAATTTGTTCTAGAGTATCTTTGGACAAAGGAGCCTCAAGTTTGTATAAACGGAGGGTGTGGCCCCTCTGGGAGCATAGGGGCGGGGCCCAATAGGGGAAATAGAGGAATTGTTTTCTCCTGCTGTACAAGTGAAGGGATTTATACCAAATGCAGTCTGAAGCATGCTTAGGGGAAAAAAAATCAATTTGTTTAATTTGTATAAAAAGGTGCATGTGAGGCCCAATAGAGGAAATAGAGGAAAATTTGGACATAACATGGAAATTCATTTTCTTGTTGTCTTTCCCACCAAAACAGATTTATATGTAGTTCTTCTTGCAACTTTGTTTCTTGTACTCCTTTGATAAACCTGAATGGTACTCAGCAGGTTTTAAATTGAAAAATAAAATACCAGGTGAGCTATTAAGGCCCCTGGGCCTCTTGTTTTTTGTGGCAGAAATTTTTCTTTACTTCAAAGCAATATAACTACAAAATTTGAAGAAATTCTACTGAGAAATGGTGACACAATCCTATTACCTTAAAAGACTACGTTGAAAGATTTCAATCGGCCCTGCAGGATGCAGGGGATTCAGTTTGTATAAATGAATATAACTTTTCAGGTTATGTATACAATTGAAACTATGCTCAGTCTCCAATTAAGAACATTATGTATTTTGTACAAATATATAACTGAATGATTGGGTTGTTGATACATCTGATGTAAGGTAAAGTGTGATGTGTGTGAACACTCCTATAATACATATTACATATAGACAGCTTCATAGGTTCAAATTCCTTCATCACATTTATGTGGAGAGTCACATGACCTATCTGTTCTGATAGGTAGTCTGTTACAACCCCTTACAGTATTTATAACTGTATGTTATACATGACCCTTGGTTTTAGAATACTTAAAACACAAATAGAAATTCTTTAAATGGTTGGTGAGGTGTATATATGTAGCATTCGTTTACGATTCCCAACTTTGATTATAGCTGCCAATCATAACACCAATAACATTCTTGAAGATGGATTGTGTAACTTCAATGTGTGTGCTGTCAGGTCAAGGTCACTGTTAGTCTGATGGAATTGTTTATCCGACAGTGATGTCATCCAAACCACAATGAATAAGGAGACAAACTTCAAAGGGCTGGAGTAAGCTGTCAGAGGCTATATTTGGATCTAAAATTAATTTCTTGTATAGTGATCGACCTTCTGATGAATGACTCATGACAAATCTGGCCATGTGGTTTACCTCAAAGGTTAGCTGTCAAGGTCATAGATTCCAAAATAGGAATTAAAGAATTTGTTCCCGACACCAGTTTGAATGAAGATAAAGCTTTTACACTGTTTCCTTGTCTTGATCAACCAATACCTACAACCATTTCTAATGCATACAAATTACCCGCCCTGGACAATCGTCAGGTGAAATATTCCTGACATTATTTTTGTCTCTGAATGTTGGTGATTAAAAGATTCCTGATCCAACATTGCTGATTCTCAACTACTAAAGTTGGATCTGTTCATATATATTTCTTATTTCAGTCATTCTGGTATAACTGTTTTCTGCATCAAAATACCAGTTTATAAAATGTAAAATGATAATTACTATTATCCAAAGTTTGATGTCATTTCGGCATCGAGAATCCTTGGTAAAAAACACCTTGTTGCCATTCATATCACATGGATGAAACCTGTTTATACTTTGATCAGTAACAGGTGATTGATAGAATATTTAAACAACTGTCAAAAGTATGTTTGTCAAACTAAACTTTTAGGCTGTAGGGACACTTTACTACAACCCACACTTGAAATAGTACAAGCAGATCAAAAATACACTTTTCTATGACAAAGAATTCATTATTGTCTCGCCTGCGACGGAATCGCGAAGCGAGACATAGGCATTACTTTTCAGGCGGCGGCGGCAACATTTTTGTTAAACTCTAAATTTCTCTCTAAGTACATAAGCTAGCTATCATAATGGAACCTGGGAGATACTTGTATCTATATATAACCATCTAAACACACATTTCAGATCCAGAATTTGAACTAAAATTTACTGTTAATTGGACATTGTTAATTAATTGGGTCATGTTAAAGTTATCCATTTAGCTTCACATTGAGCTAAATTTCTCTCCAAGTATGTATACATAATGATGTACATAAGCTATCATAATGGAACCTGGAATGTACTTGTATCTATAAATAAACATCCAAACGCACATTTCAGATCCAGAATGCTAACAAAAATTTACTGTTAATTGGACTTTGTTAATTAATTGTGCCATGTTAAAGTTTTCAGTTTAGCTCCACATTGAACTAAATTTCTCTCCAAGTACATAATCTATCATAATGGAACCTGGATTATATTTTTATCTATGCATGGGCATCCCTACACACATTTCAGATTTTGAATTCCACCTTCAGTTTACAGTTAATTGGACTTTGTTAATTAATTTTACTATGTTAAAGTATTCCGTTTAGATGGGGGTTGAGCTTAATTTTTCACAAAGTACATGTGCTGTCATAACCAAACCTGGATTATACTTATATCTTTGCATTTTGTTATTAATTACTTTTACAATGTGTGTTTTGTCACCGTGAACTCAGCTGCAACATCCGTTTTCTGATTTGACAGAATGGCCACCTTATAAGGGCTTCTGATTGGTCAAAATTCAGTTATTGTTCGATTACAATCAAATTTGGAAAATACATGTATTTTGGCACTGCAAACTCAGTCGCAACATCTGTTTTCTGATTTGACAAAAAATGGTTGCTGTATATTGGGTTCTGATTGGTCGAAATTCAGTTATTGTTAGATTTTGCTAAAAATTAGTATGTAAGTGTATTTTAGCATTGCAAACTCAACTGCTGCGTCCAGTTTGTGATTTGACAACATGGTTGCTGTATATTGGCTTCTGATTGGTCGAAATTCAGATATTGTTCGATTTCGCTCAAATTTTGTATGTATAGGTGTATTTTGTCACTGCAAACTCAGCCACATTATCCATTTTCTGATTTGACATAATGGTCACCTATATTGGCTTCTGATTGGTCGAAATTCAGTTATTGTTCGATTTCAATCAAATTTGTTAAGAACATGTATATTGGCACTGCAAACTCAACCGCGGCATCCGTTTTCTGATCTGACAAGACAGTCTTCGTATACTGGCTTCTGCTTGATTGGTCGAAATTCACATATATTTTGATTTTGCTCAAATTTGGTATGTGCATGACTTCCGTTCACCTATTTACATTTGTTTTTCTGAACTTGTTTATAAAATATATAATTCCGAACTTCGGCTCAAACTTACAATGCTTGACACATTGAATCTTATGCTAAAAGCTGGGACAGGCGAGACATCTAATTACGCGTAATTCTTGTTAAATAACATGTTTTGTTTGTGTTGCAGTTCTTTGCACGTGTCATCTCTAATGTGGTTCTGTCACTTGATGTCACCAAGCACAGTCAGTCCTCAGCATCGTCATCCGCTTCCCCTACAAGTCCAAACAAGAAGTTTGTAGAGGCTGCCACCAAGTGGCCAGCTCTCGTACTAGAACTTGCTAAGGACTTTGGCCTGGATCTTGACTTTTTTAAACGACACCATGTATGTGAACTATATTCTGGAGGTCATGATAGGATGGCTGAAGAGGTCAGTATATTTTTAAAATCCCGGCAAATGTATAACATTAATATATATATACTTAACAAACCATTTTAAGCTTACAGATTACTGTTGTATTTGAGCAGAAGAGATTGATACCTAGATTTGCAGATGAAACCTATTTATTTGACCTTTTTACCTCAGGTTCTGTCGACAGTGAATGACCATGAGTTGATGGGCTCACAGCTTCTATTGATCGCTGGACACAGGACAGCTTACTTCCTCCTAGATACTCACAAGTCTAAAGGGATGGACTTGCTGACCACTGTGTCCCCGGCACTGCCCACGTGGCTCAAGTCCCTGGTAAGTTTGAGGTGACAGTTTTTGTAATTGACGATTTAGGAATTGATCTTGTTACTTATATTGTATGGGTATCAACTTGTGAGGTTTCACCTTGACCTTTTATGATAAAGATCAGAATGGTTTCTATAAAGGTTCAACGGGCCTTTTTCTTTTACTCAAATCAAAATTCAGGGGAAGGTAAAAAACAAACAAAAATGAAAATGCCTCTTGTTGCATATTGAGTACTGAAATGCTAATTACATTTCAGGTTATGAATTTAAAATTCAGAGTTATATTTAAATATTCCAGGACAAAGGCCATTTGCGTCAGCCCAAAGTGTCTGCTGAAGACGTCGCCAGGCTAGTCCAGCATGTCGCCAACAACTTGCCTGAGGGTTACCCGGAGTATGAACTAGCCATTTCTTTAGTTGACTTAGTGCAATCCATGTCTTCATTATCATAGCACTCATTGACTTTGACCTCTTGTGACTTCACCCACACTTTAGCATTAATTCTAGCTCTCGTCCGTTAGTGTTTCCACCACGACAAACTCATATTTATTTTATGTGCCTAACACATTACCATCACGCATGTTGTGACTGCATCACATACACTTTATATTTGGATGCAGAAATGCTAATTCTTAAATTTGAATTTATTTGTTATCCTTGTCATCTACACAGGTTAGAAAGAGATTGTCAAATCTTATTCCCTTTACTACACATTTCTAACAGAAAAATAGTTATTGGTAAATTTAACTGTTTAGAATACATTTTAAGGATTAGTGCTGCTAAATGAATATGCTTGTTCCTGATGATGTTAATAAGTCGTGTATTAATTTTGATGATGGTTACCATACATATACAACCAACTCAACAGTGTAGTCCAATAGCTGTAACATCACCATATCACAAAACATTTTGTCCTGTTACCTAGAGGTAGTATGTCTGACCAACAACCAGTCTTTCAGAAGTGAGAAAGTCTAGATAAGTTATGGGTGAAATACACATCTGATAACTTAAGCTTAGAACAATACAAGCTTTGTCAGAACAAAATCTTCACAATTAGTTTTCAAAGATAAGTACATATTATGTATACTGTTTAAGCTTGAATATATGTTATTGATTATTTAGTAATAATTACATAATTTTTTGTAATTGAATTAAGTTGTTCTGACAGGTTTGTTATTGCTAATTTTTTTAGTCTGCATAATATTTGTTGGTGTGTGAGTGTTGAAAGTTAAAACTTAGTTAGCATTGAATGTTCTATGCATCAGTATGATTGTTTAGCATTTCTGGGGAGTACTTTACAAATATATGTTTAATTATATATTGTATGCAAATGAAAAAGATTAAAATAATGCCAAAGGGTTAGAGAATATTATACTGTTGGTAAATAATTCAGTTTTAGTTTTACGATAGAATTGTGCAAACAAGTTTATCGCCCTTGTATATGATAGAGAGCTAAAATAATTGTAATCCCTGCAGTTTTAGAAAATAAAAAAAATTGACCCTGCAAAATAAAATTGTTATACAGTACTTTTGCAGATTAAAGCATTAATTACGGAACATTTAATGTGCAAATTAAGTTGTTAACAATATGGTAATATATGTTAATTCAGTAAATGTATGCTACTGCCTGTGTTAGACTTAATCTGTACACTAGGTTTGTTTAGAAATTCTTAAAGTAAGATAAAAAAAAAAAAAAAGTACCACAGCGTCATAACACAAGGACAAAGAAAAATGTACAGAAGTTATATAGCTCCTTATATACCAACAGGAATCTAGTAACAAAGCTGACACAGTATTAGTGGAAGGGCAATGTGTACATTATACTGTTGTGTGTCCATTGTGTATTTACATGTATGTGGACATTGAGTTTTTTTAGATGGAATAATTTATTAAACAATGGGATTTTTTTAGATGTTCACAGAATGACGGTAATGTATTTAGATATTGCTGTATTTAAAGATGCGTTAGGTAGGTCTACTGTTTATAACTGTAGGGGCCAACTCCTACCATGCTTACCCTTTGCTCACCTTATAATGACATGTATTGTAGAAAAACTATATATGTGGTGATTTTTAACTATTTAACACTTGTAAGAATTCTATCATTAGAATATGAGACTTGAAATGTGTTATTGCCAATGTTTGGATATAGAAATGAGCGAGAGGAATTTTATTTTCATTTGAATATCTTTGAATACTGATGTTGTGTCCCAGATGTGCAATATTTTCACACCAGATGATATGGTTTTGTGTCACAATAAACTATTAATTGATACATCAGCAGACCTTTTCCTTATTTCATTACACAAACCATTCAGCTAGTAAAGGAAATATCATAGCACATGAGACGAGCACAAAATCTAAAAACAAAACCTGTGATAAAGACAATAGAGATTTATCGGATACCACAAGGAAAGAAAACACACAATAAAAATCATCTAGATACATAACCAGGGGTTCCGTATGGGAGGGGCTGAGTTCACCAGGCGTCTGACCCTCTTAAACACTATAGCCTTCCACCACTGGGTCGCAGGGTCAAGGCCTACTTGTGGCAGTCGCCAGGTATAAGCTGTATGTTAGTGGTTTTCTCTGGGAATCACGACTTCCCTCCAACACCAAAATCTGGGACGTCCTTTAATGACCATAGCTGTTAATAGGATATAAAACACAAGCAAACCAAACCAAGATGTTCCGAATGGTAAACCACATGTGGTATATGTCACCTTATGATAAGCGGAATGATTTCACCTTTCCAATCGTGAACTTTCCTTTTCTTGATAAGACTGTCCCTGCTTCCCCAACCTACAACAGGACTTGCTCCGAATATCATGACTTCATTAAAGGTGTTGACTACTGACGGACACACTTATAACACAAGGTTTCCAAGGATACAGGTTGATTAAGAATATTAAGAAGTTTTAACGTAGCCATCATGATCTTGTAGGGAAATGTGCTGTTTCTTTGTTTGATATGAAGGTCAATGTTGTTTTATTATTCTAACTGCTGAGCTGTGTGGTTTTGTTATTACTTTTCAAGTCCTCAATGTGACGACGTGACTACTTGGATTCGTAGATGAAGCAGAAGACTCTTACACTTCCGGAACACCTGGTCTTTTTCTCCTTGTACTTTTTCGAGGGTCTCGGTGTTAAGGGTTTCCTTTGTTTAAATTTTGCTCTAGTTTTATCGGCTTTGAGTTCGTATCATGGTTTTGTCTACACGTTGGTATTCACTTGGTTTTCATTCTACAATCGGTATAATTAATGTCTGTCCTGTAAGAGAGCAAACTGTGTTAGGATAAGCATAAATAGTTCACATCGTTTGTATAGCCTGCCGCCGCCCTATATTTTTTTTTAAGAAATATCCAAAAGGCGATTTTTTTCTTGAATGCAATGGAAATAAAATCATTTCTCATGCACACACATCAATAAACACCTTAACTTTAGCACTATCATTATTACAGGATTAGAACGATGTACCAACACCGGAAGTCAGCTTTGGAATATCAGTTTGACCCGAGGATCGTTATATGTAGTTGACTAAAGGTAGCTCAGAAACCCAATAAATCATTGTTTTTGACGACCACATCTAAACCAACTTAGCCTGGACATAGTGTAGTCCTTACCACTACATTGTAACTTGATCTAAGGTGTTAAGATCAAGATGGAACAAAACTTGCCCTACATCACTATCTTGGGTTGCTTCAACGTAATCCAACAAATAATTATGGGCTGATTTTAAGTCTAGGCCATTCAGACAGCAGGTGGTAGATCGGTTTTCCGAAACAGTTTCCCCTGATGTCATGGTATAGCAGGGCTTCACATCCTGGTGGTAGTTATCTTGTTGATTGATAGATGGTATACAAGAATCGGTGCTTTTTGGTGCCTTGGAAACATTTACCAAAATTATTTACTGAAATCGGTAACGTCAGGTTACACCAGTATAGCGAATTTCACACTAGTGTGGTGTGTTAACGATTTTAGTTCCATTGATCAGTCGGGCTGTGCGCTCCGAGCTCTCCAAAACGGCCTCTAATTACAATGTAGTTACATACAGAAGGACACTGCCGTAGTCTAAGTAATAAAAGTCACTTATTATAACGCAATACATCGAGGCGATAAAATGTCAAAAGAATAAACTTATACATTATGTAAATTACTATTGCATAAGTCTTCATCTTCTTGGTCAAAGATCTGTCGATGAAAATTTCTACGTTTCCCACAAAATGAAACAATGGTTACGTGTCAACCTAAAACTGGAGGTCTCCTTCACCTTATATGAGAACAATGCAATTCTGCTGGCCGTTTGCTTACCTTTGTTTCTATTGTAGAGCGCACGTTTGACTATGCAGTGATTAGAACGTGTTGAACAAATGGTATCAATTTACAGTGACGATCAACGAAATACTAGTAACATTAAACAGGACTGATAAGACGCTACATCTCCATGTGTTTAACAGGGTGTGCCTCAGACACAAACTGGACTACTAATGCTTGAGGAGCAAGATACAGAACGTCCTTCCCTTTTAACAACAGTTTCTACAATATACAATGACATCTTTGAAACTGGGTACCGTATCAGGGAATTTTGTCATGAAAAGATCCTCGAGAGCACAAGTCACCTGATTAACCGAAGTGCATGGAATCATATGATATAGAAATATTTTTAAGACGTCTTACTTCTTTCGAGGAGTGGCTGTGACAGAAGGGGCTTTCATCCAGAAATGAACTGAGCTGCAGGAAATAAAACAGCAGTAGTTCCATTAACCAAGTGGTATTTAACTGAGATCCCACCGGAAAGATCATCCAGATCACCATAACGGTTGTACACTAACCATAGGATTCTGCAATCCTGTACGTCTACTTGCACACTAAAGTCTTTTTCAACACTTATCTCACGAAACCATGTGTATACGTTTGTACGTCAGCAATCGACATATATATCGTGAAAGTGATATTCGGAGTAATGTCTAGCATACCAATCCAACAAGGGCATGTTTGGGAAGCAGGGATGAAGCTCTCAAGAAATGGAAAGTTAACGATCGGAAAATCAAACTCGCCACGCTTATCATACAGATAAGCAATGAGCTGTCCCTGTCGATCAGGCTGTACGTTAAGATCGAGGTAAACGACTAATGTCGATGAGTCCTAAGTGTCACTGATTTTCATTTCAGGAGGGTATATCCGATTGTCGTAACCAAAATGTCACTCAAAACTGCTATTCGAAATTAAAATCGATGCAAAATGAAAACAAAAGAAAGAAAATATGGTGATCCTTGAAACAGACCAAGGAGGAATTATCTACTGTGCCATTGACGACATCCGCCATGCAAATCTAGGTCAAATCCAATTTTCATTTATTTCGTGTTCGAATTATGGTTTTCCTGACATTTTGGTATATTCTTGTTGTTTTTAATAGCACGTCTTCATAGCGAGAACTTGGTTGGTGACAACAAAACAGCAAGGCAAACTCATGAGCATTATAGAAACATCGACATATCACACAAGACGATAATAAACATCGACATATCACACAAGACGATAATAAACATCGACATATCACAGAATTAAGACGATAATAATTTTAAAAAATTGTCTTCAACAGTCAGCATCTTTAGAAGCTCTGTTTTTTAAGCTTGTCCGTTAATAGTAAACATCTATTACAGAAAGCATGATGCTAGGAACAAGTTCCCAAAATCAAATCAACTGCAATATGTTAAACCATATTTTGAAAAGCAGAGATGTTACTCTCAAGAAAGGAAAAGTTCACGATCAGAAAATTGCAATCGTCTAGGTTATCGTACAGATTAGTTGATGGTAACTTGTACTTTTCGAGGTAAGGGACTGCTGTACAACATAGAAGAATCTTTAGTACGATCGACCTGATCAATACATTTCTTATCTAAAGATAGTACATCGTCGATATATCTAAATGTGAAATATTAAGGACTTGGCCATCTTTTTAAGCTTTTTAAAAATTTAGGGTTGATACTGATTACATTGATATTTTGTTAGGATATTAAAACTTTGATATCATTATTGAAATAAAGAACGAGAAGTAGTGTGTGCTGTATCCGTATTCAAGCGAGTACTCAACAAGCGTAAAGACAATGCGTCCGTTGCCCTCTGCCATTATACATGCTACAGTACAGGTGTCAGCAGTTGTCAAAATAATCGTTGTTTCCAAGTGGCAATTCTTCATAAGTGGTGCTAAGTTTTGTTGACTAGCGATATGCACTAGTTTCCCATTATTTGTACATAGACTATGGTGATCAAATGTAAAATCGTCAACAAATATGTTAAGCGTTAAAGTGCTACATCTATACACAGACACAGTTCTAGTAGCATATTCCAATTTCGCTTGGACTGATGTACCACTAGGTTTAGATCAATTTTTTGAAATTTTATGAAAATAAATCGTATTTTATATTTTCTTATGGTAACTTCGCAAAATGCAAAAATATGCAAATAGAGAAAGCGATTTATAGCCGCTAGAGAGGCTCACTACCTGATTGGTTCTCGTTCACTACCTGATTGGTTCTCGCCCACTACCTGATTGGTTCTCGATCACTAACTGATTGGTTCTCGTTCACTTCCTGATTGGTTTTCGTTCTCTACCTGATGGGTTCTCGCTCCCTACCTGATTGGTTCTCGCCCACTACCTGATTGGTTCTCGATCACTAACTGATTGGTTCTCGTTCACTTCCTGATTGGTTCTCGTTCTCGTTCGCTACCTGATTGGTTCTCGCACACTATCTGATTGGTTCTCGTTCACTTCCTGATTGGTTCTCGTTCTCGTTCACTACCTGATTGTTTCTCGCTCACTACCTGAATGGTTCTCGTTCTCGTTCACTACCTGATTGTTTCTCGCTCACTACCTGAATGGTTCTCGTTCTCGTTCACTACCTAATTGGTTCTCGCTCACTACATGATTGGTTCTCGCTCACTAACTGATAGGTTCTCGCTCACTACATGATTGGTTCTCGCTCACTTCCTGATTGGTTCTCGTTCTCGTTCACTACCTAATTGGTTCTCGCTCACTACCTAATTGGTTCTCGCTCACTACCTGCTTGGTTCTCGTTCACTACCTGGTTGGCTCTCGCTCACTACCTGATTGATTCTCGATCACTACCTGATTGGTTCTCGTTCACTACCTGATGGGTTCTCGCTCCCTACCTGATTGGTTCTCGCACACTATCTGATTGGTTCTCGTTCACTACCTGATTGGTTTTCGTTCACTTCCTGATTGGTTTTCGTTCTCTACCTGATGGGTTCTCGCTCCCT